AAGGGGAGGCAATAACAGGGAAATCAAACCAACCTGAAGGCGGCGGGGCAGTAGTCGCGCCACTTGAAGGCGTGCAAGGAGTGCGGCGGTGTGGTGGGTGAGCCGGCCGGGGGGAAGCAGGAAGAAGGGGAGGCAATAACACGGAAATCAAACCAACCTGAAGGCGGCGGGGCAGTAGTCGCGCCACTTGAAGGCGTGCATGGAGTGCGGCGGTGTGGTGGGTGAGCCGGCCGGGGGGAAGCAGGAAGAAGGGGAGGCAATAACACGGAAATCAAACCAACCTGAAGGCGGCGGGGCAGTAGTCGCGCCACTTGAAGGCGTGCATGGAGTGCGGCGGTGTGGTGGGTGAGCCGGCCGGGGGGAAGCAGGAAGAAGGGGAGGCAATAACACGGAAATCAAACCAACCTGAAGGCGGCGGGGCAGTAGTCGCGCCACTTGAAGGCGTGCATGGAGTGCGGCGGTGTGGTGGGTGAGCCGGCCGGGGGGAAGCAGGAAGAAGGGGAGGCAATAACACGGAAATCAAACCAACCTGAAGGCGGCGGGGCAGTAGTCGCGCCACTTGAAGGCGTGCATGGAGTGCGGCGGTGTGGTGGGTGAGCCGGCCGGGGGGAAGCAGGAAGAAGGGGAGGCAATAACACGGAAATCAAACCAACCTGAAGGCGGCGGGGCAGTAGTCGCGCCACTTGAAGGCGTGCATGGAGTGCGGCGGTGTGGTGGGTGAGCCGGCCGGGGGGAAGCAGGAAGAAGGGGAGGCAATAACACGGAAATCAAACCAACCTGAAGGCGGCGGGGCAGTAGTCGCGCCACTTGAAGGCGTGCATGGAGTGCGGCGGTGTGGTGGGTGAGCCGGCCGGGGGGGAAGCAGGAAGAAGGGGAGGCAATAACACGGAAATCAAACCAACCTGAAGGCGGCGGGGCAGTAGACGCGCCACTTGAAGGCGTGCATGGAGTGCGGCGGTGTGGTGGGTGAGCCGGCCGGGGGGGAAGCAGGAAGAAGGGGAGGCAATAACACGGAAATCAAACCAACCTGAAGGCGGCGGGGCAGTAGTCGCGCCACTTGAAGGCGTGCATGGAGTGCGGCGGTGTGGTGGGTGAGCCGGCCGGGGGGAAGCAGGAAGAAGGGGAGGCAATAACACGGAAATCAAACCAACCTGAAGGCGGCGGGGCAGTAGTCGCGCCACTTGAAGGCGTGCATGGAGTGCGGCGGTGTGGTGGGTGAGCCGGCCGGGGGGAAGCAGGAAGAAGGGGAGGCAATAACACGGAAATCAAACCAACCTGAAGGCGGCGGGGCAGTAGTCGCGCCACTTGAAGGCGTGCATGGAGTGCGGCGGTGTGGTGGGTGAGCCGGCCGGGGGGAAGCAGGAAGAAGGGGAGGCAATAACACGGAAATCAAACCAACCTGAAGGCGGCGGGGCAGTAGTCGCGCCACTTGAAGGCGTGCATGGAGTGCGGCGGTGTGGTGGGTGAGCCGGCCGGGGGGAAGCAGGAAGAAGGGGAGGCAATAACACGGAAATCAAACCAACCTGAAGGCGGCGGGGCAGTAGTCGCGCCACTTGAAGGCGTGCATGGAGTGCGGCGGTGTGGTGGGTGAGCCGGCCGGGGGGAAGCAGGAAGAAGGGGAGGCAATAACACGGAAATCAAACCAACCTGAAGGCGGCGGGGCAGTAGTCGCGCCACTTGAAGGCGTGCATGGAGTGCGGCGGTGTGGTGGGTGAGCCGGCCGGGGGGAAGCAGGAAGAAGGGGAGGCAATAACACGGAAATCAAACCAACCTGAAGGCGGCGGGGCAGTAGTCGCGCCACTTGAAGGCGTGCATGGAGTGCGGCGGTGTGGTGGGTGAGCCGGCCGGGGGGGAAGCAGGAAGAAGGGGAGGCAATAACACGGAAATCAAACCAACCTGAAGGCGGCGGGGCAGTAGTCGCGCCACTTGAAGGCGTGCATGGAGTGCGGCGGTGTGGTGGGTGAGCCGGCCGGGGGGAAGCAGGAAGAAGGGGAGGCAATAACACGGAAATCAAACCAACCTGAAGGCGGCGGGGCAGTAGTCGCGCCACTTGAAGGCGTGCATGGAGTGCGGCGGTGTGGTGGGTGAGCCGGCCGGGGGGAAGCAGGAAGAAGGGGAGGCAATAACACGGAAATCAAACCAACCTGAAGGCGGCGGGGCAGTAGTCGCGCCACTTGAAGGCGTGCATGGAGTGCGGCGGTGTGGTGGGTGAGCCGGCCGGGGGGAAGCAGGAAGAAGGGGAGGCAATAACACGGAAATCAAACCAACCTGAAGGCGGCGGGGCAGTAGTCGCGCCACTTGAAGGCGTGCATGGAGTGCGGCGGTGTGGTGGGTGAGCCGGCCGGGGGGAAGCAGGAAGAAGGGGAGGCAATAACACGGAAATCAAACCAACCTGAAGGCGGCGGGGCAGTAGTCGCGCCACTTGAAGGCGTGCATGGAGTGCGGCGGTGTGGTGGGTGAGCCGGCCGGGGGGAAGCAGGAAGAAGGGGAGGCAATAACACGGAAATCAAACCAACCTGAAGGCGGCGGGGCAGTAGTCGCGCCACTTGAAGGCGTGCATGGAGTGCGGCGGTGTGGTGGGTGAGCCGGCCGGGGGGAAGCAGGAAGAAGGGGAGGCAATAACACGGAAATCAAACCAACCTGAAGGCGGCGGGGCAGTAGTCGCGCCACTTGAAGGCGTGCATGGAGTGCGGCGGTGTGGTGGGTGAGCCGGCCGGGGGGAAGCAGGAAGAAGGGGAGGCAATAACACGGAAATCAAACCAACCTGAAGGCGGCGGGGCAGTAGTCGCGCCACTTGAAGGCGTGCATGGAGTGCGGCGGTGTAGTGGGTGAGCCGGCCGGGGGGAAGCAGGAAGAAGGGGAGGCAATTACACGGAAATCAAACCAACCTGAAGGCGGCGGGGCAGTAGTCGCGCCACTTGAAGGCGTGCATGGAGTGCGGCGGTGTGGTGGGTGAGCCGGCCGGGGGGAAGCAGGAAGAAGGGGAGGCAATAACACGGAAATCAAACCAACCTGAAGGCGGCGGGGCAGTAGTCGCGCCACTTGAAGGCGTGCATGGAGTGCGGCGGTGTGGTGGGTGAGCCGGCCGGGGGGAAGCAGGAAGAAGGGGAGGCAATAACACGGAAATCAAACCAACCTGAAGGCGGCGGGGCAGTAGTCGCGCCACTTGAAGGCGTGCATGGAGTGCGGCGGTGTGGTGGGTGAGCCGGCCGGGGGGAAGCAGGAAGAAGGGGAGGCAATAACACGGAAATCAAACCAACCTGAAGGCGGCGGGGCAGTAGTCGCGCCACTTGAAGGCGTGCATGGAGTGCGGCGGTGTGGTGGGTGAGCCGGCCGGGGGGGAGCAGGAAGAAGGGGAGGCAATAACACGGAAATCAAACCAACCTGAAGGCGGCGGGGCAGTAGTCGCGCCACTTGAAGGCGTGCATGGAGTGCGGCGGTGTGGTGGGTGAGCCGGCCGGGGGGAAGCAGGAAGAAGGGGAGGCAATAACACGGAAATCAAACCAACCTGAAGGCGGCGGGGCAGTAGTCGCGCCACTTGAAGGCGTGCATGGAGTGCGGCGGTGTGGTGGGTGAGCCGGCCAGGGGGAAGCAGGAAGAAGGGGAGGCAATAACACGGAAATCAAACCAACCTGAAGGCGGCGGGGCAGTAGTCGCGCCACTTGAAGGCGTGCATGGAGTGCGGCGGTGTGGTGGGTGAGCCGGCCGGGGGGAAGCAGGAAGAAGGGGAGGCAATAACACGGAAATCAAACCAACCTGAAGGCGGCGGGGCAGTAGTCGCGCCACTTGAAGGCGTGCATGGAGTGCGGCGGTGTGGTGGGTGAGCCGGCCGGGGGGGAAGCAGGAAGAAGGGGAGGCAATAACACGGAAATCAAACCAACCTGAAGGCGGCGGGGCAGTAGTCGCGCCACTTGAAGGCGTGCATGGAGTGCGGCGGTGTGGTGGGTGAGCCGGCCGGGGGGGAAGCAGGAAGAAGGGGAGGCAATAACACGGAAATCAAACCAACCTGAAGGCGGCGGGGCAGTAGTCGCGCCACTTGAAGGCGTGCATGGAGTGCGGCGGTGTGGTGGGTGAGCCGGCCGGGGGGGAAGCAGGAAGAAGGGGAGGCAATAACACGGAAATCAAACCAACCTGAAGGCGGCGGGGCAGTAGTCGCGCCACTTGAAGGCGTGCATGGAGTGCGGCGGTGTGGTGGGTGAGCCGGCCGGGGGGGAGCAGGAAGAAGGGGAGGCAATAACACGGAAATCAAACCAACCTGAAGGCGGCGGGGCAGTAGTCGCGCCACTTGAAGGCGTGCATGGAGTGCGGCGGTGTGGTGGGTGAGCCGGCCGGGGGGAAGCAGGAAGAAGGGGAGGCAATAACACGGAAATCAAACCAACCTGAAGGCGGCGGGGCAGTAGTCGCGCCACTTGAAGGCGTGCATGGAGTGCGGCGGTGTGGTGGGTGAGCCGGCCAGGGGGAAGCAGGAAGAAGGGGAGGCAATAACACGGAAATCAAACCAACCTGAAGGCGGCGGGGCAGTAGTCGCGCCACTTGAAGGCGTGCATGGAGTGCGGCGGTGTGGTGGGTGAGCCGGCCGGGGGGAAGCAGGAAGAAGGGGAGGCAATAACACGGAAATCAAACCAACCTGAAGGCGGCGGGGCAGTAGTCGCGCCACTTGAAGGCGTGCATGGAGTGCGGCGGTGTGGTGGGTGAGCCGGCCGGGGGGGAAGCAGGAAGAAGGGGAGGCAATAACACGGAAATCAAACCAACCTGAAGGCGGCGGGGCAGTAGTCGCGCCACTTGAAGGCGTGCATGGAGTGCGGCGGTGTGGTGGGTGAGCCGGCCGGGGGGAAGCAGGAAGAAGGGGAGGCAATAACACGGAAATCAAACCAACCTGAAGGCGGCGGGGCAGTAGTCGCGCCACTTGAAGGCGTGCATGGAGTGCGGCGGTGTGGTGGGTGAGCCGGCCGGGGGGAAGCAGGAAGAAGGGGAGGCAATAACACGGAAATCAAACCAACCTGAAGGCGGCGGGGCAGTAGTCGCGCCACTTGAAGGCGTGCATGGAGTGCGGCGGTGTGGTGGGTGAGCCGGCCGGGGGGAAGCGCACAGCCGGGCAGTGGGAGAAGTCCGCCGGGCCCACGTCCCTCTGCGCGTCTGGCGTGATCCTCCCCACACTGTACCTGTTGAGGGGACGAGGGGAGTGTGAATGGGAGGTGGGATGAGCATGTGAGTCATGCGGTGGAGAGGAGAGGAAAGGTGGTATGCACTATGCAGGAGAGGAGCTCTGTTCAACCAACCCACCTCGCCACCCCAGCAAGCACACGAGCATCACATCATTGGCAGCACCCCATTACCCCATCACCCCATCATCACATCATCCCATCACCCCATCACCCCATCATCCGATCATCCCATCACACCCATCACCCCCATCACATCGCATCACCCCCATCACCCCCATCACCCCCATCACATCACATCACCCCCATCACATCGCATCACCCCCATCACCCCCATCACATTGCATCACCCCCATCACATCGCATTACCCCCATCACCCCCATCACATCGCATCATCCCCATCACCCCCATCACCCCCATCACCCCCATCACTCCATCACATCGCATCATCCCCATCACCCCCATCACATCGCATCACCCCCATCATCCCCATCACATCGCATCACCCGCATCACCCCCATCACCCCCATCATCCCCATCACCCCCATCACCCCCATCACTCCCATCACATCGCATCACCCCCATCACCCCCATCACCCCAATCACCCCCATCACCCCCATCACATCGCATCACCCCCATCACCCCCATCATCCCCATCACCCCCATCACCCCCATCACATCGCATCACCCCCATCACCCCCATCATCCCCATCACCCCCATCACCCCCATCACATCGCATCACCCCCATCACCCCCATCACCCCCATCACCCCCATCACCCCTATCACCCCCATCACCCCCATCACATCGCATCACCCCCATCATCCCCATCACCCCCATCACTCCCATCACCCCCATCACCCACATCACCCCCATCACCCCCATCCTCCCCATCACCCCCATCATCCCCATCACTCCCATCACATCGCATCACCCCCATCACCCCTATCACCCCCATCACCCCCATCACATCGCATCACCCCCATCACCCCCATCACATCGCATCACCCCCATCCCCCCCATCACCCCCATCATCCCCATCACCCCCATCATCCCCATCACTCCCATCACATCGCATCACCCCCATCACCCCTATCACCCCCATCACCCCCATCACATCGCATCACCCCCATCACCCCCATCACATCGCATCACCCCCATCACCCCCATCACCCCCATCATCCCCATCACCCCCATCACTCCCATCACATCGCATCACCCCCATCACCCTCATCATCCCCATCACCCCCATCACCCCCATCACCCCCATCACATCGCATCACCCCCATCACCCCCATCACCCCCATCACCCCCATCACCCCTATCACCCCCATCACCCCCATCACATCGCATCACCCCCATCATCCCCATCACCCCCATCACTCCCATCACCCCCATCACCCACATCACCCCCATCACCCCCATCCTCCCCATCACCCCCATCATCCCCATCACTCCCATCACATCGCATCACCCCCATCACCCCCATCACATCGCATCACCCCCATCACCCCCATCACCCCCATCATCCCCATCACCCCCATCATCCCCATCACTCCCATCACATCGCATCACCCCCATCACCCCTATCACCCCCATCACCCCCATCACATCGCATCACCCCCATCACCCCCATCACATCGCATCACCCCCATCACCCCCATCACCCCCATCATCCCCATCACCCCCATCACTCCCATCACATCGCATCATCCCCATCACCCCCATCATCCCCATCACTCCCATCACATCGCATCACCCCCATCACCCCCATCACCCCCATCACATCGCATCACCCCCATCACCCCCATCACCCCCATCATCCCCATCACCCCCATCACCCCCATCAACCCCATCACATCGCATCACCCCCATCACCCCCATCACTCCCATCACATCGCATCACCCCCATCACCCCCATCAACCCCATCACATCGCATCACCCCCATCACCCCCATCCTCCCCATCACCCCCATCACCCCCATCACCCACATCACCCCCATCACCCCCATCCTCCCCATCACCCCCATCACCCCCATCACAGCATCACCCCCATCACCGCCATCACCCCCATCACCCCCATCATCCCCGTCACAGCATCACCCCCATCACCCCCATCACATCGCATCACCCCCATCACCCCCATCACATCGCATCACCCCCATCACCCCCATCACTCCCATCACATCGCATCACCCCCATCACCCCCATCACCCCCATCACATCGCATCACCCCCATCACCCCCATCACCCCCATCACATCGCATCACCCCCATCACCCCCATCACATCGCATCACCCCCATAACATCGCATCACCCCCATCACCCCCATCACATCGCATCGCCCCCATCACCCCCATCACCCTCATCACCCCCATCACCCCCATCACCCCCATCACATCGCATCACCCCCATCACCCCCATCACATCGCATCACCCCCATCACCCCCATCACCCCCATCACCCCCATCCTCCCCATCACCCCCATCATCCTCGTCACAGCATCACCCCCATCACCCCCATCACATCGCATCACCCCCATCACCCCCATCACATCGCATCACCCCCATCACCCCCATCACCCCCATCACATCGCATCACCCCCATCACTCCCATCACATCGCATCACCCCCATCACCCCCATCACCCCCATCACATCGCATCACCCCCATCACCCCCATCACATCGCATCACCCCCATCACCCCCATCACCCCCATCACCCCCATCCTCCCCATCACCCCCATCATCCTCGTCACAGCATCACCCCCATCACCCCCATCACATCGCATCACCCCCATCACCCCCATCACATCGCATCACCCCCATCACCCCCATCACCCCCATCACCCCCATCACCCCCATCACCCCCATCACCCACATCACCCCCATCACCCCCATCATCCCCATCACAGCATCACCCCCATCACCACCATCACCCCCATCACATCGCATCACCCCCATCACCCCCATCACATCGCATCACCCCCATCACCCCCATCACCCCCATCATCCCCATCACCCCCATCACTCCCATCACATCGCATCACCCCCATCACCCCCATCACATCGCATCACCCCCATCACCCCCATCACCCCCATCATCCCCATCACCCCCATCACCCCCATCACCCCCATCACCCCCATCATCCCCATCACAGCATCACCCCCATCACCCCCATCATCCCCCTCACAGCATCACCCCCATCACACCCATCACACCATCACCCCCATCACCCCATCACCCGCATCACACCATCACCCCAGCAGCACAAGGCACAAGGCATACCGGAGGCCGAGCTGCAGCGTGCGCATGAGCAGGTAGCTGCGGTGGCCCTTGTAGATCAGCTCGCCCGCCCTCTTGCCCTCCCTGCCCCTCGGCACGTGCCACCGCTGCCTCCCACCCCCACACACGGGTCACGCAGGGAGGGGGGAGAGCAGAGCAGAGCAGCATGGGAAGGGCGGGATAGAAGAGTGGCACGGGAAGGAAGGGCAGGGGGGGGAAGGGGAAGGTGAAGGTGGGAGCATGGGCTAGCAGCGATGCATGCAGGTGCAAATGACTCGTGGTTGGTTTGTGTTTCCATGCTCCTTGCATGCTTCCTCGCCCTCCACACAAACCAACCACGAATCATTTGCGGTTCGTGCTTCCAGTGCAATGCATACTGGTGGGCATTCTCCTTGCATACATCCTCGCCCACCACACCTCCACCACACACACTGCCACAGGCACAGGCATGGCAGCACACAAACAGAAAGAAGCAGGGAGCAGGCTTACCGGGGGGTGGGAGTGGGAGGAGAGGGGCTGTTGCACCACCAGCACGCCGTGCACATACTCCCTCACCATCACTGCATCCTCCTTTGATGCGCCTCAACACAAACACACACACACACACACACACACACACACAACAGCCTTACCGGGGGGTGGGAGTGGGAGGAGAGGGGCTGCTGTGCAACGAGCACGCCGTGCACGTACTCCCTCACCATCACTGCATCCTCCACCGCCTCTACTGCTGCCACCTGCCCCATGCTGTACCCCCTCCCCCGCCCCCGCCCCCGCCTCCTCCCCTCCGCGCGCCCGTGCCCTTGCACTCCCCCTTCCCCATGCCCTCCCCCTCCCCCTCCCCCTCCCCCTCCCCCTCCCCCTCTCCCTCCCCCTCCCCCTCCCCCTCCCCCTCCCCCTCCCCCGGGTCCTCCTTCTTGCACTCCCCCATCCGCGCCCCTTGGCGCATGGTGGTGCATGTGTGAGCGTGGCGAGTGTGGAGGGGCACGCATCTGCTCTGAGCCATCGCCATGCACCTCACACGCGCCGCCCTCGCCTCCCCCGTTTGATCGCAGCACCGCTGCCTCTCCTGACTGCTCCCCACTCGTCACCTCCTGCTCTCCGCCCTCCTCCCTTGCCTCCTGCGCCCCACAATCCCTTCCACTGCGCGCCTCCCCCTCAGCATACTGCTGGCCTCGCCCCGGCACAGGGCCCATGGTCAGAGCGCGCGTGATAGCCCGCGGTGACCTTACCCCCTCCGCCCCACCTGCCCCCGTCGCCACTGCTGACGCCCCACTCGCTGTTGAGCTGGCAGCTACGGCTGCTGAGCTGGCAGCAGCACCTGCTGAGTTGAATGCGGCAGGTCCCACGTTGGCAGCAGCAGCAGGGCCTGGGGTGGAGGTGGGGGCAGCGGGGGAAGGGGAGGGGGAGGGAGCAGCAAGGGGGGCGCGGAGGGCCAGGTGGGGGCGCCAGCGCACAGGGGGTTCCTCCCTCCACACCTTCCAGTTGTCCTGCCGCCCCTCCATATCCACCTCCGACACGTGGCTCGCTGTCATTGGCCGCGAGACAGCAGCGCTTCTGCCAACACCCTTCTCTTCGTCCTCTTCCTCTTCCACCTGAGTGCCTCCTATTTCTCCTACTCTCCCACTGTGCCGCCGGCCCCTACTCCCATGCATCCCCACTACCTCCTCCCCTTGCATCTCGCCCCCCTCCCCCGCCTCCCCCCTTTCCCTCGCCTGGCCTGCCCGCGCCTGCAGCGGCCCCGACAAGCACTTGCGCCCCCCTTTCCTGCTGCCAAGGCTGCCACGTGTGCTGCTGCTATTGGCCGACGACAGGCCAATAAAAAAGTCGTCACTGGGCTGGCGCGCATGGCACAGACCCCGCCCAGCCGCCAGGGGCGAGCGGGGAAGGGGCGGGGGGGGGCGGCCAGGTGGCAGGGGCGAGCGCGCGGGGACAGGAGGGGGGCGCCCGCCAGGCTTGGCACGGGGGGAGGGCATGGTGGCGCAGGTGAGAGGGTGGGGGGGAAATCTGTCATATCCCCCCTCTGCCCCGTTCTCCCATGGCTCTCCATCCGCCTTCTCCCTCACCCCCCTCGCCCCGCTTAGCATGCCCATTTCCAATTCCCTCTCTGCACCACTTCCCGCTGCCTCTCTCCCACCCACCACTGCCGCTTCACCGCTGCTTCCTTCCCATTGGCTGCTCTCCGCACCGCTGCCAATGAGCGGCCGCCACGTGTCCGCGTCAATCACTGCCCTGCCCGTGCTGGCCTGCCCGCCGCCCTTACTCCCTTCTCCCTCAACCTTCTCGCCCCTGCCTTCCCCTCTTGCCCTTCCCCCCATCGCAATCACCACCCTTTCCTCCCTTCCCTCCCTCTCCCTCTCCTCCCTCACCCCAACTCCCTCCCTTCCCTCCACACCCCCCTCCCTCCTCTCTGCCCCTTTCTCCACACCACCTTCCCCCTCCCGCGCGCTTGGCCTGCCCTCTCCGCGGCCAAGCGAGGAGGAGTCAGGGCGGGGCATGGCGGGAACAGCGTCAGCCGCCAGGTACACACTCCCCGTCGGCCCCAATGCCACCTCCAGCGCCCTCGTCCCCGCTGTAAGCCGCTTCTGTAACATCCTCTGCACGCCCTTCACCCCCCCTGTACCTCCCCCTCCCCCTGTTGCTGCTGCTGCACCGCCCCTCCGAGCCAGCCTCCCCGAGCCTGAGCTCGCCGAGCCAGCGTTGAACGAGCCTGAGCTTAGGTCTGGAGCCTGCTTGGACAGCAGCATGGCGCCAGGTGCTGCCTGCCCCGCAGCAGCCCTTTCCCCCGCACTTGCACCCACCACACTCGCCCCTGACGCCGCTGCCGCTGCCGTTGGTGCTGCAACGGCCGCCAGAGCACCATCAACGTCATCAGGACTGCACCCGTTAATAATTGCAACTGCAGCAGCACTGTTTCCCACTGCACCCCCTTGCCCTGCCTCTCCCCCCATCTCCTCCCCTTTCTCCTCGCCTTCCAATCCCCATCCCTCCTCCTCATCCTCTTCCTCCTCCGCTCCCTCCCCGTCCCCATCAACATCCCCCTCCTCCTCCTCCTCCTCCTCCTCCTCCTCCTCCTCCGCCTCCTCCCCCTCTTCCTCCTCCCCCTCATCCCCATCCCTCTCCTCCCCCGTCCCCGCCTCCCTTTCCCCCCTCTCCCCAGCGTCCCCTGCGCCACGCGCGCACCCAGCGGGGTAGAACACGCCCTTACCGTCCTTAAGCCCGCGGCTCCACGTACCCTCATAACGGCTACCGTCGCGCCACGCGAACACGCCCACGCCGTGCTCCACGCCCTCCTCCCATTCGCCCTCGTACCGCTCGCCGCTCGCCCACGTGAAAGTGCCGCACCCGCTCATCGTCCCCCCCTCCCACTCGCCGAAATACTCGTTCCCGTTCGCCCACACGTACCGCCCCGGCCCGTGCGCCGCGCCGAACGACCAGAAGCCCTCGTAGCGGTCCCCGTTAGGGTAGAGCTTGCGCCCTAGCCCGTGCTTGACTCCCCCCGCCCAGTTCCCCGTGTAAAACGACCCGTCCGCGCCCCAGTAGCTCCCCACGCCCTGCATCTGCCCGCGCGCCCACTCGCCCTTGTAGCGCGCGCCCGACGGCCACACGAACAGCCCCTGCCCGTGCTTCTCCCCGCGCGCCCACTCCCCCTCGTACACGCTCCCGTCCGCCCACACGTAGCACCCCGCGCCGTGCGGCACGTCCCACGCCGCCCCCCACTGCCCGCGGTACGAGTCGCCGTTGGGGAACTCGCGGGAGACCTCCGCGGAAGGGTCTTCCCCCCGCCCGGCGCCGCTTCCGCGCGCGGCGGGGGGCGACGGGCGCAAGGCGCGGCAGGGGGACGTGGAGGAAGTGGAGGATTGGCGCGGGAAAGAGGGGAGGGGGGAGCGGGATGCGGAGAGAACAGAGGCAACGACGAGGGAGGCGGAAGAGGAGTTTGTGAGGGAGCGCGATCGGCCAATTGCGTTGACGGAAGTGGGGGAGGGCGCGGAGGGGAGCAGCATGGAGGAAGGCGCGGAGGGTACGGCGGGCGCGCGAGGCTGGTCCCGCTCGTTGAAGCTCCCCATGGGGGGCGGACTGCGGGAAAAAGCTATGCACCCAAATGAGCAGTAGATTGAGAGCGGTGGAACTCGGTTCACTTCGGTGAGATCTGACCAGAGAGTTGTGGGTTTCTAGAAAGCGGAATTGAACGAAACGGCGAACGCGCCGGCGCAGAGCTGGTTGAAAGGACGATGACGAGCCTCAGATGATTGATACCCGCTACAAGCAGGGACTGGAGCGACCATCAGACGCTCCGCTATAAGCTACAAAGGTGGATATGTTGCGCGTGACATCGAGAGACGAACGATGGCGTACGCAACGGCGCCAATGAATTCGGCTGAAACTGGGTGTGCGACGATCCCTAGCTTGCGTGCGACAATCCCTAGCCTTCGTGCGACAATCGCTCCGCTTCGCCCGACAATTCCAAGGCGTCATCATAACTCAGACTTGTGCGACGATGTCAACTCAGCCGCTTGTGTAACGATTACTACTGTACTAGGCTTCACGCGGCAAGCCCTAAGCAACTCGCTAAAATTCCCGCAAGAATCTCCCTGATGCGAGGTGGGTGACGGTTAGCACCTCCCCAATTGAAGCCTGGCGGCGACACATGGCGATGCTACTTGCTGCTCTGGCACTTGGGTTGGGAAAAGAGTCGAAGACCCAGAGTGCCTGGAATGGTAGGCAAGAAGTCATGGACCATGTATGACTTGATCCGATGAACCATATGGTGAGCGGAGCGGGGAGGAGCGAGCACCACCGTGCACTGTCCATGATGGATGGTGCGTGACATGGGCCTTCGAATGTCGGTGGGACTCGACAGGTTCGACTCGATAAAGGAGCATGGAATTGTGGCAATCGCGGTTATATTATTCCATGACAGTTACAAGCAATTAGAGACATACAAGCATGCATGATACCATTTGCCACAATCAACTCTTCCACACAACCAACCGCAGGAAAGAAGAAACTGCCACCTGCCATCAATCCAAAGAATATCAAATCTGCCACCTGGGAGCATCTAACACTTCAAGGACTCGTCCTTTCTGCTGCTGCTGCTGCTGCTGCTGCCAGTTGCCAGCTAGTTGGCATACTTCTCCACATCCTTGACAGCACCGTGCACCTTCTCCCCATGGGCAAACAGGAACCCAGCGCCCTCCACACGCGCCGCCGCGCGCGCATTGCCATAGTGCAGCCACGTCAGCACCACCGCAGCCACCAGCACAGCCGCCAGCACCGCAGCGCCGAAGGCAATGCCGAATATGACACCCGCGGACAGCTGCTCGCAGTTGCAGGTCAGCTGGGGGGCGGGGGCAGCCGGCTCAGCCGTGGCAGCGGGCTTCGCCGCAACAGCAGGCTCAGCTGCAGGATCAGCGTCAGCAGGCGTGGCGGTGTCAGTGGTGGGAGTGGTGGGCTGGGTGGGAGTGGGCGTGGTGGTGAAGTCAGCAGCTGTGGACCCATCAGGCATGGGCTCGTCGTCGGCAGCAGTGCGATTCTGAACGAGCGAGAGAAGAGCAGCAGTAGTGGGATCAGTGGCATCAGCAGCAGCGGGCTTGCCGTCAGGGCCGCACATGGGGAGGTAGGGTGCGTCACAGAGGCCGTCGTTGTGGTCGTAGAAGAGCGTGTCTGCTACCAGCAGACTCGTGGGCACGGCGCCCTGCAGCTGGTTGCTTGACAGGTCGCTGCATGCACACAGCAGCGCAGGGCAGAGCAGTGTAGGGTTTAGGGGAGGGGAGGAGTCGCGAGTGGTTGCATTGGTAAAGGCTGGGGGAATGACGTGGATTGGAGGGGCACGCATGGAGGTGTGAAGAGGGGAAACGGGGGGCCATGGACGGTGGTGTGAGTGGGTTGGGATGGGTGACGTACACAGTAAGGCGCACGGTGTTGCGGTTGGCGTAGAGGCCCAGGCTGTTGGGAATGCCGCCCGTGAGCTTGTTGCTCGTCAGGTTGCTGCGGTGCAGCCACGCACACACACATGCACACAGAGCGACAGAGAGTCAACCAGACATGCAGGCGCGCAGGCAGGCAGGCAGGTAGGTACTGAGAAGTAGGCATGTGGAAGAGGGCGACGCAGTGCAGCGGCCGCTGGTGAGCAAAGCCAGCAGGTGGGCGGTGGGAGGGTGGGGGCGTAGAGGTGGGCGGTGGGAGGGTGGGGGCGTACAGGAAGGCGCTGGAGTTGGTGACGGTGCAGGCAGCAAAGAAGCGCGGCATCTTGCCACGGAAGGAGTTGCTGCTCAGGTCACTGCACGGCCCGCCACAGCAGGCACACACATGGCAGGGGGCGAGGGCGGGAGGGCACGGGAAGAAGTGGACAGGGTGTGGGGCGTTACGGGGTGAGATGTTGCAAGCAGGCTGGGGCGAGGAAGGTACGGGGGGAAGGCAGGCAGAGGAATGAGAGGCATGTGGCGTGGGCGGGAGGGAAAGGGTTCGGCGCTTACATGTAATAGAGACTGGGCAGCTCGGCGAGTGAAGGAGGGAGGGAGCCGACCAGCTTGTTCTGGGAGAGGTCCCTGCCGGGAGGGGACGGATGCGAACAGAGTGCGCAAGAGAAGATGCGATGAGTGCATGAGGGAAGCGAGGGAGGCATGGATGATGTGAGGGTTGCAAGGAAGCGTCGTGACAAGGTTCTGCACGGTGGTGAAGCCATGGCATGGCATGGCATGAAGCTGTGCGAGCATGGGGCAAGGCATGAGGCACGAGGCAGGGGCGAGAGGAGCGAGGGGGGTGAGAGGAGCGAGGGGGATGAGAGGAGCGAGGGGGGTGAGAGGAGCGAGGGAGGCGAGAGGAGCGAGGGAGGCGAGAGGAGCGAGGGAGGCGAGAGGAACGAGGGGGGCGAGGGGGCGACGCCACGCACAGCTGCTGAAGCTTCTCGGCAGCGGCAAAGACGTCCGGCAGGGCGCCCTCGAGCCGGTTGTTGTAGAGCACTCTGTGGTGTGGAGCGGAGAGGGGAGCGGGCAGCGGGAACGGGGCAGCGAGGGAACAGAAGGTGAGATGTGAGACAGCGAGTGGAGGGCGAAGACGTCCGGCAGGGCGCCCTCCAGCCGGTTGTTGTAGAGCACTCTGAGGGGCGAGCAGACGGGGGGGAGCGGGCAGGGGAAGGGCGAAGGGGGATTTTGTCAGTCGGTTGTTGTAGAGCAATCTGTGGGGCGACCAGAGAGAGGGAGGGGCGCGCAGGGGAAGGGCGACGGGGGAATTTGTGAGTCTAGCAGTTTTTGTAGAGCACTCTGTGGGGCGCGCAGACGGGGGGGAGGGAACGGGCAGGGGGCAGTACCGTAATGAGCAGCCAGCAGGTGAGATGTGAGACATGGAGGGGAGGGGAAGGGGACAGGATACAAAGGATTAGCAGAGGCAGGGCAGAGGGGCGGTAGATGGGTGGCAGAGGGGCGGTAGAGTAGGGCAGCTCACATGTCCTGGACGTTGGGCGAGGAGATGAGGTCTCTGGGCAGCACTCCTGAGAGCTGGTTCGAGGAGAGGTCACTGCAGCCACACAGGGAGGCGAGGGACAGGGGGAACGGGCCGGAGGGGAGAGAGTCAGAGGGGGAGAGAAGCAGCAGGGAGAGGATCAGTGAAAAACGTAATGAAAGACAGCAGCAGAAGCAGCAGCAGCAGCAGCAGCTAAGGTGTGAAGTGCGCAGAATGCAGTGTGCGGTGTGTGGGCGGCACTGACATGTGGGCGATGTTGGAGAGCCCCTTGGGCAGCTCGCCCGTCAGCTGGTTCTGCGCCAAGTCCCTGCCATGCCAGCACACACACACACACACACACACACACACACACACACAGGGGCATGGCACACCCAGGGGCATGGCACACACAGGGGCATGGCACACACAGGGGCATGGGGGGGTGTTGAGTGGAGGAGGGCAAAGGTTACCTGATTCTGCAACATGTGACTGCCTGCAGGGAGAGACACGTGGTGCGTGGGGAGGGCGACGAGTGAGGAAAATCAGGAGATTGGAGTGGATCTAGGAGAGCGATGATGGGGCTGGGACGGGTGGCGTTGACGTGTAGACGGATCAGGGGAAGCGGGATGCGGCACTGACAGGTATTGCAGGTTGGTGAGCGACGGCAGGTTGAGCTTGGCGACAGGGCCACTGAGCATCACATTGCGCAGCGTGCTGTGGGCAGGGGGGCGGAGAGAGGGGGAGGGGAGATGGGGCGGGGAGATGGAGAGGGGAGATGGAGAGAGGCGGTTAGGAAAATGAAGGGGCAGGTAAGGCGGAGAATAGACAGAGCGAGAGGAACCGGGGGAGAGGGGCAAGATGAGAGGAAGACCCGTCTACAGCATGCCCCAGCAGCCACTCCCAGCGACGCGCGCGGCAACGGCAGTGGCAGCAGTGGCAGCAGCGGCGGCAGCGGCAGCAGCTCACAGGCTTTGGAGGTTGGCGAATTTGGAGAGGTCGAGCTCGTCCGTGGTGATGCCCAGCGCCACGTTGTAGATCTCCCTGCCGGGGGGGGAGAGAGCCGGAGGGGAAGAGGGGGAGAGGGGGAGGCGACAGGGGACATGCGGGTGAGATGGAGAAGTTGGAGAGGTCGAGCTCCCCGTGGTGATGCCCAGCGCCACGTTGTAGATCTCGCTGCCGGGGGGGAGAGAGCGGGAGGGGGAGGGGGGTGGCGGGAGGAAACGGGGAGGCAACTTCTGAGGCAGGCGCCTCAAGAGAGGTCGAGCTCCCCCGTGGTGATGCCCAGCGCCACGTTGTAGATTTCCCTGCCGGGGGGGAGAGCGCGGGAGGGGGAGGGGGGTGGCGGGAGGGATGCATGCTCAGTGAAGTCCGCATGCATGCACGGCATGGCACGGCCCACGGCACACGGCACGTCCCACGGCACAGGGAGGGAGCAGGGGTGCAGGGAGCACTGGCATGGGGGAGAGTTGTGTGAGACGCAGTGGCGTGCAATGTCAGCGCATGGGTGAGTGCAGTGAGCAAGCACGCAGGGCAGCACGGCACACGGCCCAGGGAGCAGGGCGCAGAGCGCAGGGAGCAGGGCGCAGGGAGCAGGGCGCAGGGAGCAGGGCGCAGGGAGCAGGGCACAGGGAGCAGGGCGCAGGGAGCAGGGCGCAGGGAGCAGGGCGCAGGGCGCAGGGAGCAGGGCGCAGGGAGCAGGGCGCAGGGAGCAGGGCGCAGGGCGCAGGGAGCAGGGCGCAGGGCCCAGGGAGCAGGGCGCAGGGCGCAGGGCGCAGGGCGCAGGGGCTACTGACAGCGAGTCGAGCTGCGTGAGGGTCAGGAGCGTGTCCACCAGGCCCTCCTTCTTCAGCCCCACGCTGTAGAACTTCCTGCAGGGGCGGACGCACAGGGACGGGGGAGAGGGGATGGAGAGGCGCGGAGGAGGACAAGGCGGTATGCAGGGATGGGACGTCACTCTGGAGATGCATGGCACGGCATGGCATGGCATGGCATGGCACGGCATGGCATGGCATAGCATGGCATGGCATGGCATGGCACGGCATGGCATGGCATGGCATGGCATGGCATGGCATGGCATGGCATGGCATGGCATGGCATGGCACGGCATGGCATGGCGGAAGGCGAGGCGAAGAAGCAAGCGAAGGGGGGGGGGGGGGGGGGGTGGAAAGGGGGAGTCGGAAGGCGAGGGGGAGCGGGAGGGCGAGGGCGAGGGGGAGGGGGAGGGGGAGGGCGAGGGGGAGGGCGAGGGGGAGGGGGCGTACAGGTGGTGGAGGTTGTCGAGGTCGGCGATGAGCGGACTGAGCGTGCCTCTCATGGCGCCCGATAGGGAGCTGCACGGGATGGGGTGCAGTGCAGGTGGGCGGGGAGAGAAGGGGCGAGGGTAGGAGAGGGGAGGAGATGGGAGGAGATGTGTGCTGTGTGCGCGACAGAAGGACAGCGAAGCACGCGGTGCAAGGGACGGGCCATGGCAGCAGAAGCAGCAGCAGCATGCGGTAACGGATTGCCGCAAGCAGCAGCAGACAGACGCTCGCTCGCAGACCACAGTGTAAACAAAAAGGAATGAAAAAAAAAGGGAAGAGAGAAGAGGGGCATGAGAGGGAGGGACTGACATGCCGACGATGGTGTAGTTGCCTCAGGGCGTCTGGTCGCAGGTCACCTGCGGCGCCTTTTGAGAAATGTCAAGTCAAGAGGCGCGAGCGATGAGATAGAGCGGCTTACATGCCGACGATGGTGTAGTTGCCATCGGGCGTCTGGTCGCACATGACCTCGGGCGCCCACCCCAGCGGCCCGCAGATGTCCCCCGCGTCGCCCCAGCCGGGCAGCCACGTCTGCACCGCGTCCACGCCCAACGCGTCGCGGATCGCATGCATCGCCGCCACTGGCGGAGGGGTGAGGGGGAGGCGCGCGGGGTGGGAGAGACGAGGGACGAGACGAGTTAAAGGGATGAGACAAGAGGCAGAGAGTGGCACGAAAGGGGCGGAGAGGCAGAGAGTGGCACGAAAGGGGCGGAGAGGCAGAGAGTGGCACGAAAGGGGCGGAGAGGCAGAGAGTGGGAGCAGCAGTAGCGGCGGCACGAGCAGCAGTAGCGGCGGCACGAGCAGCAGCAGCAGCCGCGGTGGTACAGTGGAGCGACTCACCCTCCTTGTCGGGGGTGACGCCAGTGACGGGATCAGCGGCAGCAGCGGAGCCGGCGAGCACGGCGAGGGCGAGCAGGCAGAGCGCGGCAGCCGCCACGGCAGGCGGCGACGAGCGAGCAGCGCAACGAGGAGACGCCATGGGGACTGGAAACCGGTCGAACACGCAGCGAGAACGGTGTGAGGAAACGGTGCGAGAGAGTATCTGAGCAGCCTGAGAGACGGAAATGGTGCAAGAAAAGCGGGTCTGGGGAGGGCACGAGGGGGCTTTGAACTGGCTTCCTCGCAGCGGAGGATGAGAGAGAAGGCGAATGGGTCGGTGAGGTCTGGCGCAAAGCGACTGTGGAGTTCGAACTGCGAGTCTGCCGACATTTATTCGTTCACGCGGCCGCGTGCCAGTCGGCCCTCGGATGGCGCAATTCGCCGCACCCAACGGAGGTTACTGACCCAGAAGGAGCGAGAGGCGTGCTGGTGGTGGGCCAGCGGTTATCGCTGCCTGACAGGCACCCAGGGATCTTTGCACGAGACTGGCTCGCATGGCTCGTGGAGTGCGGCGCGGGTAATCCTTTGGTGCCATTCGCGGTTGGGGCCCACAACGGCCGCTCGCGGAGACGCTGGCTGCGTCCCATGCCGTTGAATCTAACCGCCGCTACCCGCAGCGCACGAAGAGTTACGCGTAGCCGCAGGGCACGGAGGGGTATACATGTCCCTGCAGGAAGGGACTGGTGGAGTTGACTCGTTGCAAACGGCCACGGGTCGTCCTGATGCTACGCGACAAAAACCAGGGCGGGCTTGAGGTAAGAAGCTGTTTCTCCCACTACCACTCTAATCCCGGGACTACAAACCAACCGACGGTCGGTATTTTAGGCCTCGGATTTTGTACGCGGTGGAAGGAATTGTTGGAACGACAACTCGTTTGAGACATCTGAAGGGGAGATTTCTTCATCTACAGAGAGATAACGGCTTGCAGAAGTACCATACATGACACCAAATGCAACAACACAGAAAAGCCACAAGTAGTACCATATTACATTCATGCATCTACGGACTGAAAAAGAAACTTTATTATAACTAGACTTGGTAAATCTATCGACACATGTGAGTCTGATGGTTGATGCATTTTGTACCACACATACCTATAAGGGCGTATCTTTGGTTCCGGTCATGAGCACTGTTCATTCTACTGTTTGGGTCATGCGTAAATTGCGCATGACCCGAAGTGGGCTGCCGAGCCACGCGCGGCCCCAGCTTTGGGTCAATGTTGCTGGGCTGATAAAAGCCCTTAGGATCTTTGCAGGACTAAATTCTGAGTAGGACAATGTAGTAGCAGAAGCGTTTTAATGAAAGGTTTGTGAACCACCTTGCGCTGGTATGTGAGGGCAAAGTAGATTGATTAAAACAAAGAGATACAAGCTTTTATAAGAGTACAAGGGAATATGAAGGGTTATAACTAATAACTGTTTTGTTGTTGTTGTTGCGGTTCGATACAGTGACGACTCGAGCAACTGCTCAATAGCGAGTCAGTTGTTTGTCCTTGCTGTCGCACTGTACTTGTCAGGTCAAAGGTCGCTGACCTTTGACTTTCGCGTAACCTCCAGCAGTTGTTCAACCTCCGAGGGTTGACTCGCCAATGCTTCGATATGTTTCGCTTCGCTTCTGACTTGGTGTTTCGACACGACAGAGGCGCTAAATCAATTGTTTCCAACACTCCCCTTCGCTTCTGGAGTGTCGCTGCTGGTGACGTGGCTTTGTCCAGTCAGCAGCATGCAGTACTCGAACTTGTGCTTCCCGAGCTTCTTGGTCAAGTAATCAGCTGCCATCTCGGACGTGGGACAGCAAGACAGCTCGAGTCTCCCCTTCTCGATCTCGTCCTTTACGAAGAAATATCGCAGGGCGATATGCTTCGTCCTGTTCGCGAATCCATTTTTGTTGGCTATGCGAATTGCCAACTGGTTGTCGCAGAACAGGGAGAAGCTGGGTAACTGAGCCTGTCAAACATTATACATGTTCATATTGTGTAGGCTATAGTGGGTTTAGCCTTAGGGGGTACAACATTGCTAGGGTTTCCTACTTGTATCACCCTGCTGCCTAGTTTCAAACATTCTCGTTCAGTTCTACATTCTAACAGAGCCAGCTTCGCCTCCTCCAGAAGTTCGCGAAGGTACAGTCCTTCTTGGTGGCTGAGCAGAGTGCGATATATTCTGCTTCACCTGAAGAGAGGGCGATTAACTCCTGCTTGCTTGACTGCCACGAGATGGGTCCGATAGGTTCGAGGCGATAGATGTAGCCGGTGCGCGAGCGTCTGTTGTCGGAGTCGCCGGCGTGATCAGCGTCGACGTAGCCGATTAGTTTAGGCATTGTAGTTCCGTTTTTGTGGTAGGTTAAGCCGACGGTCGGGGTGCTGACGAGGTATTGGAGAGCGCGGTCGAGTTCCGCCATGTGTTCTGCTTCAGGTTTCTTGAGGTAGGTCGCGAGCTGACTTGCGGAGTACGATAGATCCGGGCGGCAGGTGACAGCTGCGAAGAGGAGGCAGCCCAGCTTTTTCTGGTAGTCGCGTATGCCTGCGGGCTTGAGTAGAGCGGAACTTCCCTTGTGATTTCCTGCGGTGCAGCGGTAAGGCGTGGAGATGGTGATCGGGGTGAGTCCGAAGCGTTTGGCGATAGTGTCTGCATATTTCGCGGCGTTGAGGTAGATCGCGCCTTCTTCTTCCTGGTTGTTGAGGCCGAGATACTGCGTGACGGTAGATGACACTGTAATAGTGAGGTCCTGCTGCAGTTCTCCTTCGAACCAAGTAGTGACGCTGTCAGTCGAGCCGATGTAGAGCAGGTCGTCCACGTAGACGATCAGTAGGATGTAGTCGTCACCTCTCGTGAGCCGATACATGCCCTGGTCGTGTCGAATCTGATGCGGACGAGTCGAGCGTGTAGATACTGCTGCGACAGTCTTAGGGTCTGTTTCATACCGTACAGGGATTTTAGCAGCTGGCAGACTTGGTTAGGCTCTCCGTGGGAGCCGTGTAGAAGTTCGACGAAGATTTTGGCGTCAACACGTGCGTAGAGGAATGCGTTGGCGACGTCAATTTGCCGCAGTTTCTTCTTCTTCATGGCAGCGATCGCGAGGAGAATCCGTAGTGAGGTGTGTCGGCTGACCGGGGCGAATGTCTCGGTGAAGTCGCGTCCGTGCTCTTGGTCGAAGCCGCGTACGACCCAGCGCGCTTTAAACTTGTCGATGGTGCCGTCTGCCTTTGTCTTCACACGGAAGACCCATTTCCCAGTGACAACTGTCTTGTTTCGTGCCACGTCGATGGGAACGACTTTCCAGGTGTTCCGTTCTTCCAGTGCTTTCAGCTCCTTGTCCATGGCTTCGCGCCATTTTTCTTTATGCTCCCCCCCCAGAGCCTGCTGAACTGTGGCAGGCTCCTTAGGAATCTCCGTGCCGTGGACCGCGGTGACGAGGCCGAGTATCTGGAGGCCACTCTGTGTGTAGCGGGGGAGTGTTGTGTCCTCGGGATAAGCTACTTCGTCACCTGCTTCTGGGTCAGGTATGAAGTTGGGCCCTATGCGTTCTGCTTTGTTTGTGTTGACTTCTGCAGGTGTAACGTAACCGTTGTCGGCGAAGTGGTAAAATACTTCGGCGTTGGTGCTTTCGCGAGGGTTTTCGTCATCCATTGGGACGTCGACGGAGCAGTAAGGGAGAGGTCGGCTTCCTCCGATGTTTCATCCACGTTCTGCTCGTCCCAGTCAGCTTCGTCTGCTGCCGAGGCGAAAGCTCGGTCACCACGGAAACCACCTGTGGGGTCCCGATCTTCTTCCAGGTTGGCAAGGTACGTCGGAAGGGTGAGTCGTTCGTAGAAAATGACATCACATGCTGCTACTGTTTCCTTGGAGTGGACATCGAAAATCTTCCACGCGTTGTAATTTCTTTCGATGCCCATGTGTAGTCCCCACTGTGCGCGTTGGGAAAATCGGCTGGCTCGTGCAGATGGGGGTCGGTACTGTACCATGCAGCCAAAAACTCTTAACATTTTTGTGCTGCCTTGTTTTCCTGTCCACAGCAGGTGCGGTGATGCGTTGTTCGGGAGCGATGATGACGAGAGCAAGTTGTGCAGCATGACAGTGGGATCCATTGCTTCGGGCCACTGGTGATTGGGCACTCGCATGCTTCGTAGCAGCTTGCGCATGGTGTTCTGAAGAGTTCTGTTCATCCTTTCTGCTACGCCTTGCTGCTGGTGAGCGTAGGGAAGAGAGATGAGCCTCTTGATCCCTCTTTCTGCCAGGTACTGCTTGAACCTCTGTGAGATGTATTCTCCTCCTCCGTCTGACTGGAAGCTTTTTAGCTTCACGCCCGATTCTCGTTCTGCTACTGGGAGCCAAGCGACGAAGGTCTCAAAAGCCATGTCCTTGCTTGGAAGGTTAAGGTGCCAAACGTATGTCAGAGGTCCACTGGTGATCCCCGATTGATCCTAGGGAAGGGTTACAGGCATGTTGGCCTGGGGGGTTATGGGCGCACTAACCCGCTACTTAAACAAGCCCTTTTATCCCAATGGTCTAGTGGTTGGGATTCTGACATCGTATCAGAGCGGAGGTCTCGGGTTCGAATCCCAGTGTGTGCACTTAGGGCATCCCATTGCGGGGGGGTGTCAGAGGTCCACTGGTGATCCCCGATTGATCCTAAGGAAGGGTTACAGGCATGTTGGCCTGGGGGGTTATGGGCGCACTAACCCGCTACTTAAACAAGCCCTTTTATCCCAATGGTCTAGTGGTTGGGATTCTGACAACGTAACGTGTGGCAGCATCGATGAACGTGATGGTGTAGCTGTATGCTCCTTGTCCAGGTTCGCGGTTGTACAGGATGTCGCTGTACACTTTCTCAAGTGGTGCGTAAGCTGGTGCGCTGGGGTTGTGGTGAGAAGCGAACGGCCGATGTGGTAAGTCTGCTTCGGGGCAGGTAAAGCACGTTCCGCGAGCTCGTCGAAGTCCGCTTCCGTCGGCTAGGAGGAATGAGTCCTTGTCGAGCACTCCTGCTCTGATTATGTTATTTAACACTGTGTTGCTTGGATGTCCCATTCGTGCGTGCCAGATGTCTTCGCCAGCTCGATGTCCGGGTGAGCGACGGTACAAGTCGGAGTTGGAGTAGAAGCTTGCGGTGAATTTTGTGCTTCGATGTACTTCTCGTGGTGTTGGGTTCAATTGCTGCGCAGGAGTCGGTGGAATGTCGTCGTCAATTGGAGTCAGTGCAGTTGAAGGACCAGCGATTGGTGTCGATGTTGCCGCTGCTGCTGCCGTTGTTTCTGCTGCTGCTGATGTTGTCTCTGCTGCTGCCGGTGTTGTCTCTGCTGCTGCCGATGTTGTCTCTGCTGCTACCGACGTTGTCTCTGCTGCTGCCGATGTTGTTTCTGCTGCTGCCGAGTGTTGAATCGTTGCTAATGCTCTTGTTCGTTCTGCCTCAGGGATGGTGTGCGAGTAACCAGAAGCCTTCGAGACTGAAGTTGGGGTCGAGATCTGGTGGATGTGTCCAGAAGGTGAAGGTGACGATCCCGTCGCTGTCAGCGGTGCCAAGATCTGGGACGAAGTCGAGGACGAAGACGTTATTTTTCAGGACCGCCTTCCCGATGTAGAGACCGCCCTTCCCGTGGTATAACTTGAACTCATGTGTTGTGCTGTCTGCTTCGAGGTGGATGCCTTTCGCCATCAGCTGACTGACGCTCAGTAAGTTGTAGCCGAGTCCCTCTGTAATTAATACTTTTGACATCTGTAATATGACGTTTGTCTCTCGTGACCGAAGTTGCACCACGCCTTGTCGTCGTGTGCGCAGGTTCTGGTTGTTGGCGACGGTGATGACGACTTCCCGCTGAAGTTGGTATTCTCGTTGAACGAAGCGACCTGAAGAGCACATGTGTTGTCCGCAGCAACTGTCCAAGAACCAGGTATCCTTCCCAGACGGTTCACTTTGGGCGATGGCTGCGTACGTTGGGTTCGGTTGCAGTGACTCGCGACGTGGAGTCCTTTCGTCGAGTTGTTCTTCTGGTGAGTAGTGCGGCGGCAATTCGGTGATGCAGGAGTCGGTCAATCTTGCCATGCAGCTTACGATGTTCCTTGTTCCTTGTGCAGGTTGTCCCGTTGACGTTGTTGACGTTTGCACTTGAGTGGTGGGATTTACTTGCGTTGAGGCGACTTGACTGCTTGAAGGTCGAAGTTGCCGCTGCGTTGGTGCTGACTGCTGCCGGTTAGGGCAGTGTGTGCGGGGATGACCTGACGTCTTGCAGAGATGACAAAACGGAGGTACAGGTTGCTGTCCTTGGTACTTGTTTTGCCGATGGTTGTTGTTGTTGTAGCGCCGTTGAGTGTGGAAAGCGAACTCAGGCATTGACGTCTTCCTCTTGTGTTTTTCTTCTTGTAGGTCCATGTCTTGCTGTTCGGCGTGAATCTCGGCGCAGAGAGTTGCTTCAGAAATTTTTCCGTGAGCTCAGAGTATGGCGCGAGTGGAGCGCCAATGAGGACCAAGACTGCCAATGACGACTGTGACGAAGGCGTCTTCTGGTATCGACCCTCCGCATCGAAGCAGTTTGTCGCGCAATTCGCGACAGCGGCTGATATACGTCATCCCTTTTTTGCCTGGTTTCATTTCCACTGTTGTCAGTTGTGCCATTAACCGACTCTGATTGACGCTGTCTGTTGCCCGATACAGGTTCTTCAGGTGGTTGTACGCGAGCTCGGCGGAGTTCCCGTATCCTCGGTAAGACCGAATGTTCTGCTGCTGGTTCGGTGTGACGTTGCGTAGTAGGATTGTATACGCCATCATGGACTGATATGTATACTGCTGCTTGTCGTATTGCGTCCCGTGTGTTGGGTATGGCAGGGACCCGTCGAAGAAGCCAAGAATCTGCGCGCCTTCCATCATCAGCTCGAATTCGAATGACCAGGTAAAGAAGTCCTTTCCATCAACGGTCTTGACGTCTGCAGTTTTACCGTAAACCCCCGGATATAAGACCCTATGGTCTTATCATAATCGCACCTAAAAAAATGGGGTGGTCTAAATAAGTGGCATATATAATATAAGACCCGGGTCTATACAAATTGATCTTTAAGATACATGTTTTTGGGCACAGACAAAAAAATGGGAAGTGTTCCGTTTTAGCACTCCAAGAAAATACGCGAAACCATCTCCTTGAGGTCTGACACACGTCAACACGAAATCAAGCTGGGAGGGTTTTCTCATTGGCCAGAATTGGCCACCACATCAAGCATAGAGGCACCGTGTGATGGGCCCAGCGCACTGTGTCGCCTCGGCCTTCACACCCCATGCACGCTGCGAGGGGGCTGCACGGTATTGGTTAGGGGGTACTCTACACCTAGTAGCTGGCACGTCCCTGTGTGTAGGCTGTACTTCACGTCCTTCTCCTCTTGTTTCTTCTCCCCAGCAACGTTTCCTTGCTCGGCTGGCTATCAAAGATGGCGAGCGGAGCCATTATAAAACCTCCTCGAAGCTAGCAGCGTGTCATCTGTAGTTTAGCCGCCATGGTGACATCCCCAGATGCTGAGACGTCGGTGTCACAATAGTAAGCACAGTGAGGAGCCATAGCTAGGGTTTAGCTAGCTAGGCAAGAGAGAAATGAACAAAGGAGAGGTTTCACTAGCAGCAGTTGGGATACATATAGCAAACCCTAACAGGGTTGTACTCGCTATAGAGCACCCCACTACAGGCTAGATAATAACATTCTGACACACCCCCATAGCCAAAGTGGGGTGTAATCAGCAGAGCACGCAGTCATAGAGCAGGTTCACAATTGCAAGCAAAGCTAGAGACTATCACAGAGGGCAAGTGAGGAGGAGGAGAGACTGTGGGGGCGAGAAGATGGGAGGCGACTGCTGAAGCTGCAGACACACAGGAGCTGCTGGCTCAGTGGCTACCGAAGCAAGGGCCCGGACTACAGGAATAACTGGCTCCGCGGAGATTGTAGCCTCCTGACTGGAGCAACTGACCCACAAGCGACTGGCGACTACCGGAGATTGTAGCCTCCGGACTACTGGCGCTGCTGACGATACGACGGTTGCCTCCACTCAACCTCCCCCAGCTGCCCCACGCCCCTATCACACACCCCCTGCTGCACCCCTAGCTCCACTCCCACGACACCCCCCTAGCTCCTTCGGCTCCCACACACCCACCCCCCTGAGCGGCAGCTGCAGCAGCGGGAGACGGAGGAGGAGGAGGAGTAGTGGAACGGCGCACAGAAACTGCACCCCCATACCCCCCACCCCCAAACCCTAATTCAGGAGAACGGGCAGCAGCAGGGGTGGGGCGCCGTCAGAAGCACGGGGGGACAGCGGGCAGCTCAGGGGCAGAGAAGAACGGGCCGCCCACGGGCCTGGCACAGCCAGACGAACCGCGCGCAGGCGGCCCGAGCCGCGCGCGGGCCTAGCGCAGCCCGTACGGGCCGCGCGCGGGCCTGGAACAGCCCGTACGGGCCGCGCGCGGGCCTGGCGCAACCCGTACGGGCCGCGCGCGGGCCGGGCGCAGCCCGTACGGGCCGCGCTCGGGGCTAGCACAGCCCGCGCTGGCCGGGACGGGCGACCGGGGACGACGAACTGGTCCCCGTCGCCCGTCGAAGCGCCCCCCGGGGGCGACGCGCGGACCGACGGGGCAGAAAGCCGCCGCGCGCCTCGGGGCGCACGGCGGGCAGAGAACCGCCGCACGCCCCGGGGCGCACGGCGGGCAGAAAACCGCCGCGCGCCTCGGGGCGCACGTCTGGCAGAAAACCGCCGCACGCTCCGAGCGCGCGGCGGGAAGAAAAATCCGTCGCACGCCACGGGGCGTGCAACACACAGAGTAGCAGCGGAAGCAGTTAGGTGGGCCCACAGGCCAGGAGCGTAAATGCTATGAAACCATGTCACAATAGTAAGCACAGTGAGGAGCCATAGCTAGGGTTTAGCTAGCTAGGCAAGAGAGAAATGAACAAAGGAGAGGTTTCACTAGCAGCAGTTGGGATACATATAGCAAACCCTAACAGGGTTGTACTCGCTATAGAGCACCCCACTACAGGCTATATAATAACATTCTGACAGTCGGGTGCTCAACGTCGGCGCCGCCGTGTCCCCAGTACACCTCCTGTTGCTAGGCCATCGCCCAGGCCCGTCATGCCAACGCCAAGTGCCTCTACCAGCGGTGTGGCAGATAGTGAGCGCAGTGAGAGCCCACGCCGTCCGCTTCCCCAAGTTAGGGTTCCTGTCTTTCCGCAATCCAGCAGACCACAGGGTAAGAAGAAGCGTGTGCAGGACGCAGAGACGCCATCGCCATGGCACCGAATGACGAAGAGAGCGCGGAAAGCTTACACCGCCAAAGAGAAACTGTACTGGCTCAAGATGATAGATGCGCAGCCGGATCTGAGCGTCCGCAAGCTGGCCAGCCTCGCCAAAGTCCAGCCGAAGCAGATCCGCGACTGGAAGAAATTGAAGGAGCGCCTCGAAATTGCGGCAGGATGTCGCCGTCGTCTCAGTGGTGCTGGACGAAAGCCCAAGTGGCCGATGATGGAGACTGCGGTGTACCGCAGGTTCCTTTCCCACCGTGGGAAAGGTCTGCCGGTTTCCGTGGGCCTGCTGCAGAGTTGGGCGACGACCTACATGAAGCACCGCCACCCCCAAGAGAAGTGGCAGTCGTCGCACCGCTGGACAAAGAGATTCCGCATGCGGTGGTCCCTGGCGCAGCGCGTGAAGACGAAGTTTGGGCAGAAACTTGCTGCAGGTAAGAAATCCCGTGCACATTCGATGTTCGCTGATGCAAAATTGCAGCTATTGATCCACCATTTACTTGTGCGACGCAGATTGCAAGAAGAAGTGCGAGTCTTTTTGGGAATTCGTGAGGCAGATGCGCGTGCTCAACGCCTACCCCCTCAACTTGATTGTAAACGCGCATCAGACGCCTCTGTTCCTCGAGATGCCTGCTGAGCGCACCCTCGAGATGAAAGGCGCGCGTACTGTGCACGTGCGCACCGCGGGGTACGAGAAGGAGCGCCTCACCGTCATGCTGGCGGTGACGGCGGGCGGCATGAAGCTCCCTCCCTATGTTGTCTTCAAGCGGAAGACTCTGCCGAAGATCCCCGTGCCCCGATGTGAGTTGTGCCCGTGCGGCAACTTTGCTGCTCTTTGCCCTGGAAGAAACCCGCTAACGTATCTTGTGCTATCATGCAGGTGTTGTCATCCGCGTCCAGGTTAAGGGCTGGATGGACGAGAAACTTGTCCAAGACTAGACAACGCAAGTTCTCGTCCCCTTGCTTAAGCCGCTCCGCGAAGAGGGAGGGCAGCGCAAGGAGGCGCTCCTCGTCCTCGACTCCTACCGAGGGCACATCACTGAAGCGGTCGGCCAGACGATGAAGCTGTTCAAGCTCACTCGCGCGGTGATCCCTGGCGGTTGCACCTCGCTGGTGCAACCGCTGGACGTTTCGATAAACCGCAGCTTTAAAGCCGGGGTTCGCCACCGCTACTCCACGTGGTTCCAACATGAGGGGATTGAGTCCTTTACCCGTGCAGGTGAGCACATGACTGCCCGCGGTTTAATGTGCGCCTAGAATGTGTATTGACTGACCACTGCCCTTATCCGTGCCCTTTCCCGCAGGGAACCTGAAGAAACCCCCCCCTGAAAAAGTTCTCTGCTGGATTGCGGAGGCCTGGGCCGACGTCCCAGAAGAACTGATCAGAAAATCTTTCATCACGTGTGGCATCTCCAACGCCGTCGACGGGAGCGAGGATCATCTGATCCACGCTCACCTGCGGGACGCGGCGGAGGTGGAGGTGATGGACGATGTGTGCGAGGAGGAGCTGGACGAGCTCGTCCCCAACCCTTTCTACTCTGACCCTGCTGCCACTGCTGACAGGGACAGCGATGCTGAGCTGGTGGCGGAAGCTGGAGAGGAGGATGCCAAGGAGGAGGAGGAGGAGGAGGAGGAGGAGGAGGAGGAGGAGGAGGAGGAGGAGGAGGAGGAGGAATGGGAGGAGGAGGAGGAGAAGGAGGAGGAGGAGGAGGAGGAGGAGGAGGAGGAGGAGGAGGAGGAGGAGGAGGAGGAGGAGGAGGAGGAGGAGGAGGAGGACAACGGTGGGGACGCGGAAGAGGTGGGGGCTGGAGGGGGATGGCAGGATGAAGGCGATGAATGGTGGGCTGAAGGGCGATATGATGGGGAGGAGGCGGAGACCTGGGTTGCTGGGCAGGATGAGGATTAGATAGGGTAATGTTCCTTCGCATGTGTGTTTGGTTGTTCTGCCTCCTCTATGAACATTGAAAATCACCAAGTAACAGTCCTTAAATCACAAATGAATAGGTCTCTAGTGGTAGGGGGGGGGTCTTATATTGTAAGGTGCCAAATAGGGGGGTATATCTCGACTAGACTCGAATAGAGTACCCCCCCCGTACTATATACCCGGGGGTCTACAACTGGAGGGGGTCTTATATCCGGGGGTTTACGGTAAGACGTGTGCAAACAACGACTGAACTTGAAGTGCATCTAATGTCTTCTCTTGCTCAGGTGAAGGCTACTGGCGCGGCATGAAGCTGACGGAACCACGCTGAGGTTCGTACGGGGCGAAGGTAGGTTGTTGCTGCTGATTTCCTCGTGCGTAGGATGAACCGTCGAGGCTCATCGGTGTTGCGTTGTTGTTGTTGCTGTTGTTTGACTGCGCATGTGCCCCTTGCTGGTGTTGTTCGTAGAAGGACATGAAGGAAAAGAACTTCTCCATCATGTCTGGGTCGAAGCCCGCGGCTTGATTTGCGGGAGTTTCGGTAGACCCAGCTGCCGGTCTTGTTGCTGTGCCTTCCTTTCCTCTGTCTATAGGCCAGAGGTAGGAGGTGGAGTAGGAATAGTACCGGGAGAGCCGTTAGAGGAGCTTCTCTCCTTCTGCGTTGCCATGCCTTGTGATGTTGTAGGTGTCTTGATTGTAGTTGAATTTGTCCTGATAGCTCTCATACCATGTTGGGCTGAGAAAAGCCCTTAGGATCTTTGCAGGACTAAATTATGAGTAGGACAATGTAGTAGCGGAAGCGTTTTAATGAAAGGTTTGTGAACCGCCTTGCGCTGGTATGTGAGAGCAAAGTAGATTGATTAAAACAAAGAGATACAAGCTTTTATAAGAGTACAAGGGAATATGAAGGGTTATAACTAATAACTGTTTTGTTGTTGCTATTGCGGTTCGATACAGTGACGACTCGGGCAACTGCTCAATAGCGAGTCAGTTGTTTGTCCTTGCTGTCGCACTGTACTTGTCAGGTCAAAGGTCGCTGACCTTTGACTTTCGCGTAACCTCCAGCAGTTGTTCAACCTCCGAGGGTTGACTCGCCAATGCTTCGATATGTTTCGCTTCGCTTCTGACTTGGTGTTTCGACACGACAGAGGCGCTAAATCAATTGTTTCCAACAAATGTGCAGGTGTTGGGCGACTGACGTGCACGACCCACCCCCAACCAATCACCTGGTTGCACGATTCACGTTAGACTGCCATCTCTTCGGCCGTCGTCAGTAGAGTGCCACAATTTTGCAATGTACCGTATCCTAAACCTCTGTACTGCACCCAACCACTCAGCAAATTGATCCCAGTGACCCAAGAATGTGTCTTGAATTTCCCGCGTCGCGCTCCCAACATTTGGGGATTCATGCCGACATTTTTTACGATTTGGGGTGTCGCATGGTTTTGCGTGGGTGTAGCAAATGATCTTTCGAACTGTTCTGGCATCCATTCATTGGATGCGACTGTTGTTTGGGGCGTAATTTTGGAGCGAAAAAGCCTCGCACCAATTTGGAGGTCGCATGAGTACTACCAAGAACCCAAAGTGGTGTTTTGTGTTGTTCCGGGCATCCGCAATTCGCGCATGCCCGGAACAGTGCTCATGACCGGAACCAAACCAAAGATACGCCCTAAATAGGCTAGGCTAGACCACACAATAACCATCTACCGTAACAGAAGTTGCTAAAAAAAAACTTACACTAGGTCCATACAGGTACACCCACAGGTGAGTCTTGGTTAGATTTACAAATGGAGGAAATAAGGGAATACCAGCCAAAGGTGCAACTAGATAGCATTAGTGATGCGGGTGCTCACACCACCTGCCCAGAAAACAGGCAATATTATGAGTAACTGAAGGTGGAAAAGGGCAAAAAAGAGGGGCAAAGCAAGGGAAGAGAGGAGTTTATGGAAGACGAGATATTACCTGCTACTTGTGTGAACTCCACTTGCCGTGTTGTATCAGGATCCATTGTGTATTCAAACCTGCAGCCGCCACAAGGACGTAAGTAAAAGAGATACAATGATGCTGCTGCAGGCGCATGGCACACTCAGAGCCCGAAAATCACCCACGCACACATGCATTGAAACGCTCTCAAACCACTCACTTGTTGCTGAAGCACACTTTCAGCTCCCTCGAAGTCGTTTTAGTCGCATCCACCAGTACAGTCACAATCTCTGTCTTGCGTGTGCTGACAAGCAGGCAGTCAAACTCCTTGGGGACCATCAGCGCCAGGAAGTTATCCGCCAGCTCAGACAGATACAGCGATTCAATAATGTCCAATGGGATGCGCCGCTTCAGCCTGAAAGTATCTCGCTCAATAATGTAGACCGCCTTTTCTGTCACCACCAGCAGCCGCGGAACGATTCTGTTGTGCCGGTTCACCTTGGCGACTGTGTCGGCGAAAATGACGCTCTGGTCCCCTGCGTCGCCGTGAGCGCATTGTGTTCCACGCGTGCACGGGGTACGTTCGGAAGGGCAAGAGGCAGGAGGATGCGGGATGGGGAGATGCAGAAGGGATAGATATGCTAAGGTGCTGACGGAATGAGGGAACAATGGTGGTATGCAGCAGGTCAGGGAGTGTGAGAGTGAGAATAAGGCAGCCGGGAATGCAGAGTCGAGATTAGCAATAAGGACCGGAGAACAGGAAAGTTTGAGCTTTCGCAAAATGGAACCTTGATAACGCTGGAGCTCTCGCATCTTATGTGGTTTACCTTTCTTCCGCTCCCGTAGCGCCTGCGCCAATCAACCGTGTTTCCATAACATGCTCCGAGCGCGTCGCCCAACTGCGGTCGAACCTACTTTGTCCGCACTATCTCCTAATCAGTCCTACCTTGCTTCCGCAGCATCTTGAGGATCGCATGGTTCTCGTCAGCGAGCTGCAGATAGTCGCCTTGAAACACCTTGTGCGTCGCTGCGCGACGTCGCACGCGAACGAAGCCTGCCGAGCCTGTCCCAGACCCGGACCTAAGCGAGCCGCCGTCCGGGCCTCCAGCTCCGTTGCTTAGAGCGGAAGACCCAAGGTCCATGGTCTGCGGTCCACCGGATGCGATATACGGAGCCTAGATAAAACCTAACGTGTCCTAAAATTCGCTGTATGCTTGCACGTGAAGCACACAGGTGGAGCGGAAGGGGTAAATGCGGGTGAGAGGCGAAGGCTGCCCGACGCTGAAGAGTCGTACTCGTCAACAGACTGTTTGTGAATGGGGTACGAACTCCTAAAAGATTTTGAAAGGAATGAGTAAACGAGGAGAGTGCAAGGAGACACTTTGGGCTATCTGCATTCCCAAATCCCGTGAATATTTCTGCCATCATGCACAATTGCCAATTTGTTCAGATACGGTACTCAAGTTAACATTTCAAAGCCTGGTTTATTCACAGAAGAATTATAATGCCATTACAAAGGCAAACGACTCGGGAATCTAAGCTGCAAACTACACAAACAGTAGGCTAAAACATCTACGGTACTAGCAGAAGTGTTATCAGACTTGTGGTACGCATGCGGCTAAAAACTACAACAAGGGCCATAAAAATTAACACCACTCCTTGGCAGCTCTGGCACCAACAACTCCTCGCTCCTAGAGCACACCCCTTTCCCAGCCACTTCCTCATCTCCAAAACTTCCCACCACCAGCACCACTTCTAGGTGAGCACCAACAGTAGCAGTGAAGGAAGGTTGAAACCACCTGAGTAAGGTGAGGACAAGGCAGAGGAAGGAAGCAGAACCCCCCAGAGCAAGGCGAGTGAGAAGCAAGAGAGGGGGATTGTAACCCCTGAATTTAAGACAAGCAAAGGCCAGAGGAGGGAGGTTCCTCTGACCCAAACTTGTCTTAAACTCTGGGACTTCAACCCCCGTCCCTCTACCCCCCCCTCACAAGCCTTGCCCTGGGAGGTTCAACATCCCTCCCCTGCCTTGCCCTCCCCTCACTCAAGTGGGCTCACCCTACCTCCACCCCACCACCACCACTCTCCACCTCCGTCCACCACTCTCCACCACCACACCAGAGTGGGGCTGAGGAGCGACCCCGAGAGCTGAACCCTCACCGACGTGGCAAGAGGGGAGCCACACCAGACCCCCGGCCGCAGGGTCTGGTGATCGTCCATTATGCCTTAAACGTGCGGCTATTGGCATCCAGTCCCAAGGCCCCACCCAACCACCACTCTCCACCCACCACCACCACCACCACCAACCACCACTTGCCGCCACCACCACCACCACCACCACCACCACCACCACCACCACCACCACCACCACCACCACCACCACCACCACCACCACCACCACCACCACCACCACCACCACCACCACCACCACCACCACCACCACCACCACCACCACCACCACCACCACCACCACCACCACCACCACCACCACCACCACCACCACCACCACCACCACCACCACCACCACCACCACCACCACCACCACCACCACCACCACCACCACCACCACCACCACCACCACCACCACCACCATCAGGGGCACTCAACACCCTCCACCAGCCACCAGCAGCGTCCACCACAGCAGATGAACCTGCTGGGGCGAGGAGGGGGGTGCAAAAGGCAGTTAGTGGCTGACGATTGGGAGCAGTCAAAGATTTGAATGCAACAGAGATGAAAGGAGAAAGTGCAGCAATGCTGAAAGCAAGGACACAATTAGCAAAAACTCAAACAAAAGGCTGAAAGAGAAGGGCCAGGTTGTGTACTTAACTGCGTTGAGCCGAGGTGCAGCGGAGCTGAGTGCAGCAGCAGCGCTCCTCCCCCCGCATGCCTCTGCTCCGCCTGGTGCCCTGGGGGACAGCAAAGAAGAGGGGAAGGAGGGATGGCGGGAGTGAGTGAGTGAGTGAGTGGAGAGAACAGATGCAGACAAGTGCAGACGAGAGGGGAGGGACAGCATGCCATGCACGATCTAGCCAGCTGTAGCACACCCAAGGGAGAGCGGGGGACCTGAACCTCAACATCATACCAAGGGACCTTAAAAAAAAGGAAGGGGGGCTTGGGTGTGCCACAGACAGCTGGAGTGACGAGGACAGCAAGGAAGACAAGACATGCATGCAACACAACAAGCGGAAAAATGAGGCAGAGGGAGAGAGGCTGGTGAAGCGGTACTTATCTCTTGGTCAGTCTGTGATGGTTGAGTGATGGGAAGTTCAAGAAGTCCAGCTGATCCCTCGGCTGCTCCCTCGGCTGCTCCCTCGGCTGCTCCCTCTGTGTCCCACGTCCCTTGAGAAGCGTTCGCCAGGCAAAGCGTCCTTCACGCACGCAGGGCCCTGAGATGGTCGAGAGGGAGAGGGCGGGAGGAGAGGGAAGGGGGGCGGGGAGGGGGGGGGGGGGGGAGGGGGGGAGGATGGTGGGAAAGATTAGAATGAAGTGCGAGCGAGTGGTGTGTCTAGTCAGACGTGAAAACGGATGCAAGCAAGCCAGTTGTAGCACACCCAAGAAGAGGGGAGGGGACCTTCATCTTACCAGCCAAGGGTGACAAGTGTTGTACCAACCAAGGGGAGTACCAGGAGGGGGTACCAAGGGGAGTACCAAGGGGAACACCTGACAGTCTTAACCTTAAAGGAAAAAGGTCTTGGGTGTGCTACAGGCAGGGGGAGCGACGAGGCAGTGAAAACGGAAGCACGCGCAACGAGGCCGGTAACAACAGAGGGGAGAAGGCTGCCAGAACGATACTCATCTGTTGGACGCTGAGTGCTGGCGCCTGGCTGGCTGGGAGGGAAAGAGGCCCACGACGACCCGCTGCTGCCTCCGCTCCGCCACACGTCCCCACAGCAGCTCCCCTTGCTCCCATCGCCTCCACGCGATGCTCCCATCGCCTCCACGCGATGCTCCCCAGAGGAATGCTTCTCGCCGCGAGCAACGCCACTGAGGGATAGGGAGGCGCGGGTGGGGGTGGGGGGGGGTTGTTGGAGAGGGGAGGATGTAATGAGAAGGAAGTCCGCGGAAGAAGAGTGCAGGGCAGTGGACTCACATCTAGGCAGGCAACAAGCCATCGTGTAGCAGAGCGGGATGGAAGCACAGCTGCTGTCGCACACTCAAGGAGGGTGGAGTGAGGGGGGTACCTTTACCGTACCTTACCGTACCAAGGGTAAAAGTTCTGTACCTACCTGGAGGGCGCACCTGATAGTCCGAACCTTGAACAAAAGGGGGGCCTTGAGTGTGCCACAAGCAGCTAGAGCGACGAGAAAAGCGCATGCGAAATGACTGATCGAAATCATAGCAGGCGAATGACAAGGGGGGAAATGGGTCGAGGGCATGGAGCGGGGGTACTTATCTCTCTTGAGGCAGCAGCAGGGCGTTGACTCGTGGCAGCAGGGCGTTGACTCGTGGCAGCAGGGCGTTGACTCGCGACGAGGGATGCTCCTTGCCGTGAGCAGCAAAGGCTGAGGGATAGGGAGGCGTGATGGAGGGGAGAGGGGGGGAAGGGGAGGATTTGTGATGAGAAGCAAGTCCGAGCGTGAAGGGAACTCTCATGCGGGCAGTGAGGCGTCGTGTAGCTGAGCGGGATGGAAGTAAAGCTGCTGTCGCACACTCAAAAAGGGTGGAGTGAGGGGGGTACCTCTACCTTACCATACCGTACCAAGGGTAAAAGTTCTGTACCTACCTGGAGGGCGTACCTGATAGTCCGAACCTTGAACAAAAGGGGGGCCTTGAGTGTGCCACAAGCAGCTAGAGCGAAGCGCAGCATATGCATGGCTGATCGGAATCAGAGGAGTCAAATGACAAGGTCGCGAGCATGGAGCAGGGGTACTTATCTGTCTCGAGGCAGCAGCAGGGCGTTGACGCGCGACAGCAGGGCGTTGACTCGCGAGAACAGGGCGTTGACTCGCGGCAGCAGGGCGTTGACTCGAGTCCGCAGGGCGTTGACGCGCGCCTTGTAGCCAGTTGAAAGCGGAGAGGCGAGAAGCGTCCCCTGGAGCAAAGGAGGGCGAGCGGAGGGGGGGTGGGGGGGGGGGGGCGATGGGGTGGGATTAGAAACGAGAGGCAGCGACAGGAGCGCCGTCGAGCCATGTGCACTCTCGTCCCGATGCGACTAGAAAAGGAAAGGAGTAGCCTCCGTAGCACACCCAAGTGGAGCGGGGGACCTTCACCTTACCATACCAAGGGGGTTACTTACCTCATAACCTGAACCTTAAAAGGAGGGACTTGGGTGTGCTACAGACGGCTAAAACGAAGAGGCAGCAAATCAGGAAGCAATCGAAACGACATGTGGCGAAACGGACAAAGGCGAAGGCGGGGTGAGTGGTGAAACGATACTCATCTGTTTCTTCCAAGAATCATTGCGAGGGAGCCCATCAAGTCCCGCTGCTGCCTCCGCTGCTGCCTCCGCGACCCACGTTAGCCAGACAAAGCGATGATCGTTGACGCGCGCAGAGCACTGAGAGTCAACGCGGGGAAAGGGGGTGGCGGAGCGAAGGGGGGGGAGGGAGGGAAGGACTACGATCAAGAACAAGCGGCAAGACTTCCTTCGAGTCACATGAAGTTTAGCCCAGAACCGAACATAAGAGGAAGGTATAGCTGCTGTAGAACACCCAAGCGGAGTGGGGGACCTTTACCTTACCGTACCAGGGGGAATACCTACCAAGGGGAATACCTGACAGTCCGAACCTTTACCAAAAAAAAAGAGGGGGGAGAAACTTGGGTGTGCTACAGGCAGCCCACGACGACCCGCTGCTGCCTTCGACCCGCGTCCCCACAACCGCTCTCCGTGATGCGCCTCAAACGCGAAATTCGCAGCGAAGGTCCTTGCGGGCAGCAGGTGACCTGATGGACAGGGAGGAGGGAGAGGCGCGGAGGAGGGAGAGGCGCGGAGGAGAGGGGGGAGGAGGAAGGGGGGTTGATGAAACGTGTAGGAGATGCGCAGTCCAGTCACATGTAAGAAACGGATCTTCGTGTAGCGGATTTGGGAGGGAAGATACAGCTGCTGCAGCACACCCAAGGGGAAACGGGGACCTTTACCGTACCGTACCAGGGGTAGAAAATTTCGCCCGTACCAAGGGGGATACCTTATAGTCTGAACCTCAAAAGAAAAAGGGCGGGACTCGGGTGTGCTACAGGCAGCTATAGCGAAAATAATGATACGAAATCATACGAAAAGAAAGGGGATACGAATACTCATCTCGATGAAGGCTGCAGGACGTTGACTCGAGTCAACAGCAGAAGAGTTGACTTGTGGCAGCAGGCGTTGACTGGAGGCGGCAGCGGGCGCGTTGAGCGAAAGCGGAGAGACGCGCGTTGACTTAACGCCGACGCGCTTGACTCGAAGCACACGCGCGTTGATAACAAGACGAAGGATATCGATTCGGCGCCGATATTGGCTTGTCTGATGCGCGAATGTTAGGAGAACCTGCACGCGATGACATGGAAGAAACTGCGTTAGCGAGCGTCCATAGAACAGAAACAAAACGAAACGCAAAATTGAACGGGAAGATCCCGCCTCTTACCTTTGAAGCTCGTCGGTGCAGATCCAGCATTTGAGTTTAGGGGAAATTTCACTCTTCAGAGCCAATGTCGATCTCAGTCGTTCTTCGTGTTCTGTTCCGACCTGCACGGATCAAACAAAAAGTCATATTTTTATCCAGATGCGTAAAAAGAACGAATTGCGACAATAGAAACTTGAATGGTTTCGAAAATGAAATAGAAATAGGAACACTTACGGATATGTTCTTTGTCTCGCGAACATTCGCTGCGTCGAAGCAATCGGCTGGGCGGCCATACGACTCCTCGCGGTCGCGTCACGTTGAAAAAATCAGCAGTGCTCTAGAGTGCTCCGTGCTGTTCCAAGTTGTTCTAATACTGAACGGTCCGAAGCCTGAATGTGGAGACTGAATAACGGAAACTGGTGTCTCAATGTGGGCTCACGGCTGAAATTGGAACATGGATAGTGAATGCGGATGAGAGGGCGAATATGCGGAGGCGAGAATGAGGCATGCCGGTTGGAAAATGGGAAGGTGACGGGCGAACGTAGGGAGGGATGGTTGACGCTGGCTGGGGAGAGAATGGGGTAAGAACCGAGCCGCAAAAGTAGATCAACAGGCCTGAATCGTTGCGGATATTCGGAAACAAAACAACGAGCGTCACTGGCGCCAAAGTGAGCCAGAACCGTTGGGAACAAAAACAGGAAGAAACGCCATCTGATTCGCTGAAAATCGGGACCACCAGCGGTCGAGCCGCTAATTGCTAAAACTAGAGATTTGAAAGCCGCTTTCTCGCCGCCTAAGCAATGAGGTTGGGTGACACGCACTGGCATGGATCCGATAGCCAGTTTTAGTGACCACCAAACCCTAGCTTCAGCCGTGAAGGCTCGAGTCCCTCAGCAAATGCTGTCAGGGAATTTGGGCCGCTTCAGGCACCTCCCACTGTTGAGGTAGATGCTTTTCGGAGGAATTTTTCCTGCATAAGAAACGTATACGAGTCTTGGGCCTGAAAGATTCTTGGAACAAGTACCGATTGGAAGTAGCCGATGGGGGCACTTTCGACCGCTGTGTTGAAAAGCATTCCTTCTCAAACTTAGCGTCTCTTGGCTTAGTCCATTAGTTTCGATGGGGTCTTTCAAAGCAGCAAAACGTCGTCTTTTAGTGTGAAAATTGTACAGCTACAGTACATGCAAAGCACACAACTCACACGATGTGCAGGTTTGTGCATCCAAACCTCCGCTGAAGCCAACAGACCAAACCTCCAAACCTGTGCTCCCGTCCGTCAATTCCCCAGCACTTTTTCCTTGTCGGTGTCGTGCTCCCAGATACTGTATGGGTACTGACTTGTCGAGGCAGCGTGGTCGGCTCGTTGTAGGCTTGGCGCCGTCGTCTGTGGTCTAGTAGTGGCCAGGTGACTTCACTAGCATGGCAGCGTGCTCAGAGAAACTGACTCGGGAGGGCAGGTTTGATGGATTGGTAATGTTCAGACGGCGTGAAACTGGAACTTCGCGACGCAACAGACTGGTTCGGCGCTTTTCTGTGTGATATAAAGCGGTGGTATGCGCTCCAATTCCATCTCCTCGACTTACGAGAGGGCAATTTCTAGGGACTAGCCTCGGGCTTCGTTCTACATTTTGGCGTCCTGTTTTGTGTTGTTCGGTGCTTCACGTGTTCAAGTCGCTTTTCCACAAGGCATTAGGCTTTACTTCGGGTAGGAAGTAGTTCTAGTGGTGTCCAGACATTTGTACTGGGCTTCTAACTGCAATAGGCTGCTGATAGTTTGATCGATCGCCAATTACTCTTCGTGTCTACCTACAGCTGTTCGCTAACCATCAATCGATTTATGTTCGATCATCTGCAATTGCACACAGCTGCTAACACGTCACTATATTCTAGACTGACTGGCCACTTTTCCTTCAACAATCTGACGCTGAATCAACGATTGTAGCTTCCTTTTCATGTTTTCCGTGGAGTTAGTAGCAAGCAGAGTAATTTAAAAGACAGAGCTTTATCTGAATTGGTCGCTCATGCCGCCCTTGCGACGCCTCCCAGGACTCCATATGCCCTCTCTTAGAATCAGACGGCTATGCCTGATGCGCGATGAGTGACCATATCGCGTTTAGTATCAACTACCGACGTCGCGGCGGTTCCACATGGCTCGGGTGTATCAGAAATGGAAAGGAGACAATGTGAGCCTTCTCGCACTTCTATCCGCCTCTCTAGTTCATCCCTTTTTCCCGATCTCGAACATTAGATCGATTTCACTGCATACGGTTTCGCTGCTCTCTTTCGTCTCACTGAACTTCACTCGCATGATCTCGTTTATTCGACGCCAACCGTCTTTCATGGCCGCACCCTCTCGTCTGTTCCGTGACAATCCCCTCTTATCTCTCCACATCCCTTTCACTCTCTCCACTCTCGTCCATCGCTCCTCCCGCGTCCCTCCTTCCCTCACACCACACCATCCCCGCCCTATCAACCACACCAGAAGTTCTTCCTGTGGGGGCTGTGCGTGTTCGGGCCAGACGTGCGCTCACTGTTGGTGTCCATCTGCCTCATCACCATCCCCGGCGCGCTCTTCTGCGTCTTCGTCGCGTACCAGCTCATCGACAAGATGTGGGGCGGCATCGCCGTGCTCCCCGCCGCCATCTCGCTCATCACATGGGTGCGTCGCGTCGCTCACGAGGCTATACGCGTCGCAGGCGTCATGCGATACGCGTCGCTCGCGTCATGCTATACGCGTCGGTCGTAACATGCGTGCATCGCTCATCCCATGGCTCATGCCTTCCTTCCGTCTACACCCTATCCCGCCTTCTGGCGCACTTCAAGTTCTTTCCCCTCCCTGCTCTTCCCTTCTCCTCCCCAACACCAGGACCTGTACATTCTGCTCTTCACAGCCTGTCGCGACCCGGGCATCGTCCCGCGCAACCCCACTGCGCCGGCGGGGAAGGTTCCGCGCAGCCGCGAGGTGGTGGTGAACGGCGTGGCGGTGAAGGTGAAGTGGTGCGACTCGTGCCTGCTGTACCGCCCGCCGCGCTGCTCGCACTGCTCCATCTGCGACAACTGCATTGACCGCTTCGACCACCACTGCCCCTGGGTGGGCCAGTGCATTGGGCGGGTGAGGCGATTGGATGGGTGAGGAGGGTGCATAGGACTGGTGAGGCGAGTGTATTGAATGGGTGGGTGAGGGGGCTGAGTTTTCCATGTTGTGACAGCTCCTGCTTCACTTCTGCATCGCCCCTCCCCTCTGCGCCCCATCTCCTTCCTTTCTGCACAATTTACCCTCCCGATTCCCTCCTCCCCCCTCCCCACTTATTCTCCCCTCTTCTTCACACCCCCTCTCCTTGACATTTCCCCCTCCCCTGTTCCCGCTTCAGCGCAACTACCGGTTCTTCTTCACCTTCATCCTGTCCACAACAGCGCTCTGCATATTCGTGTTCGCCTTCTCCGCGTACCTCATCAACCAGCTCATGTTCAACGCACACGACCCGGCAGCCGGCACGCGCACGGTGTGGCAGGCCATGGGGCAGGCGCCCGTGGCTGTGGTGCTCATGGGCTTCACCTTCCTCGCTGTGTGGTTCGTGGGGGGGCTGTCAGGCTTTCACATCTACCTCATGTGCCGCAACCAGGTGGGTTAGCTGGGCACGGATACCAGCGCCTTACTTGCCCGCACCAGTGCCACTTGCATCTCCCTCCCTGCATGCTCTGCATTTCAGTGCCACGCCCTTCCGTTCCTCCTTCCTGTGCTTCTCTCCCCCATCCACCCCATCACCCTCTCCCCTTTCCCCTCCCCTACCCTCAACTCCCCTCCTCTCCCCTCCCCTCCCCTCCCCTCCCCTCCCCTCCCCTCCCCTCCCCTCCCCTCCCCTCCACTCCCACCCCCTCTCCCCCTGAAACAATGCCATCAGACGACCTATGAGAACTTCCGGTGGCGCTACGACAAGAAGCCCAACCCCTACAGCCGCGGCTGCCTCAACAACGTTGGCGAAGCCCTCTGCTCCGAGATCCCCCCCTCCCGAACCAACTTCCGAGCCAAGGCTGCCGAAGCAGAGTTCGCCATCTCCGAGCCGCATCTCACGGAGCCCGACCCTCCGCCTGGCTCGTTATCAGCCTCGGTGGACCCGAAGCGCACCCGAAACTTGCTGCCAGGCTCGGGAGGATCGAAAGGTTCGCGAGGCTCGAAGGGGTCTTCGTTTGGGGGGTGCTCGCCAGGCCAGCAGCAGGTGTACGACGTTTCTGAAGAGATGTCGCTGCGGGGAGGGAGGGCAGGAGGGGTGGATGAGGATGAGGAGGAGGATGAGGAGGAGTTTGAGTCGATGGAAGAAGGGAGGCTGATGGGGAAAGGAGGGAGGGAGTATGAGAAAGGGAAGGGACGAGTGGAAGACACAGACGAGGAGGATGAGGAGGATGATGAGGGGGAGGAGGATGATGATGATGAGTATGATGAAGACGAGGATGATGATGATGGTGGTGGTGATGATGATGATTATGATGATGACGATGATGATGACGAGGAGGTTCAGACAGCTCTGCCGCTTCCACCTGGCAGGCAGCCATTGGTTGCACAGGGTGCAAGTGGGAGAGGGAGAGCAGGAGGAACAGGGGGGGGAGGGGGAGGAGGAAAGGGATCAAGAAGCGGAGGTGGCTCGGGCAAGGGCTGGCAGAAGAGGGATGCGTGGCAGAGTGACGATGAGATGTGAGGCGGGTGAGAGTGCGCTGTGTGGAGTGTGTGTTGAGTTTCTGTGAAGAGTGAGGAGGGAGGGAGTGCAGGGACAGCAGAGGCATGCTTGCATGGAGCGTGCAGGAGTGCAGTGGGCTCATGGAATAGCCAGACGAGAAGGGAACACATGGGACAGATGCAGAGGCAGTGCTGGTCAAGGTGCTGCTTCCTCTCCCATCCGTGGCTCCAGTTAAGGTGCTAAGTTATCAACCCCAGCTAACCTCAACTAACCTCAGCTAACTGGCAGGTGTATCGCTGCCTGGCTTAGCACAGCATGGCAGCTAGAATGATGCAGCCCTGTTCCTGTAGTGGTATTTGTTGTTGCGAGTTTGTACAGTAAGTGTTTTGCAAATTCTGTTGATATTTAATGGATCTTTTTGTTTCAGGCCCTCAATTCTAATTTCTTGAGGTACAAGGGACAAAACAAGATGGCCGTATAAGCTCCGTGGCATTGCAGGCATACCGGTACAAACAACTGCAACATCTGGAAGTGTTACAGAGAATAATCACCGTGTCAGGTGCTAACAGTGGCTACAAAGAGAGGCATACTCGATGGTGCTCTAAGGGACACTAGAGGCTGCATCAGCAACTGGTGGGTGCTCATGGAGTGAAAACAAGTGTATTTGGCATGGGGTTGCTACTGAGACGCGTAGTTGGGTATGGGTCCAGAGCCCCACTGCAATGCCCTGTGACCCGCACCCTGCTGCTGCTGCTGCTGATCCCCTTGCATCTGCTGTTGCTGCGGCTCTTGATGCTGTTGCTGTTGCGGTTGCTGCTGCATTTGTTGCTGGGGTTGCTGCTGCTGTTGCTGCTGATCATGCACCTGCTGCGGCTCCTGCACCTGGTGTAGGAAAGGCAAGGGCTGCTGCAGTGGGGCAGGGCCGGGGTGGAACTGCTCCTGCTGCTGCAGCAGCTGCAGCAGCTTCCTCTGAGTCGCGGGGGGCTGCACGTGCCGCCGCCGCCGCTTGCGCCTCTGCTGCTCGGGCTGCACCATGGGGGGAATGAGTGCCGAGTACGAATACGGGTAACCGGCAGCAACACTCCTGGGAGGAAATGCCTCACCCTCCCCACCCTGCCCCGCCTGCTCCTGCTGCACTGCCACGTGTCCGCCATCCATTTGCTGGGCAACTGCCAGCTGGCCATCCTGCCCCGGCCCCTGTCCTAGACCCTGCCCTTGCTCCTCGCCCTGCGCCTGTCCCTGTCCCTGCGTCTGTCCCTGCCCTTGCTGCTGCTGCTGCTGCACCAGAGCCAGCATCTGGCGGCGGTGTTTAACGCGGCGCTCCAGCAGCCGGTCGACCTCTTCCGCGGAGCAGCACAGGAAGTGGTCGATCACGTCGCTGATGCTCACGCGGTTCGCGGGCCGGCACAGCTGCAGCCCCTCGCGCAGCGCGTGCAGCGCCTCGAACACCGTCGGATGCACACGAATCACGGGCGCACGCTGCGTGTCCGGCCGCGGCGCGAGATCCGATCGGATGAAGTTGACGTACGACGGCATGTTCACGAGCCGCGTCGGTGCGGTCGACGCGTGGGGAGGGAAGGAGCCATTTGCGGCGAATTCCGCATACGGTTGCTCCAAAGACGGATGCGACATGGAAGGATGCTCGCCGCTCGCGTCGTTTCCCGCTCCATCTGCTTCCGCATCTACCGTTGTGAAAATCGCTAGCTCCGCGCCACCCTCGCCCGCTCCTGCTCCGGTTTCAGCAAATGATGCGACTGTTAATGCGGGAACTTCAGGTGCAGACGTGACATCTGCCGTTGCTGCTTGCGCCGTCAGGGATGCCGCTCCGATGGGTGGAGCTGCTGTTACTGCTGGTGCTCCTGTGACGGTAAGCGGGTCATGCGTTGACAATGTGTGCTGGACTTCCATGGTGAACCAAGGAAAGAGAAGAAACGCTGTGCTCAAGCTGCTAGGCTAAAAGAATCGGACAACTAGAAGTGGAAACACGAAGACTGAGTGCGTGAAGGTCTCAGGAGGAAAACAGCTGCAAGCGAGAAGCAGGAAGCGCGTCAAAACTGAACCTATCTGCTGATTTCGAAACATTGAGATGAAATTCGAATAGAAAGGCGCTGCGAAGACATGCAGGTCAAGGTAAGCAGCAGGACTTGTAACACAAGCGCGCATAACAAGAGAAAGTGTTATGCCCACACGAGCCAGGGAATAGGCGATAAGAGGGTTACAAACTCCCAACTCACGGCCCACAACTTGATTGACGGGGCAAACCCCTGCTGCCGCCGCATGAGAAATCAGGGAGGGCTGTAGAAATCGCAGGGCAGGATAGGAAGTGTATTGTAACAGCAACGGAGCAGACAGGTGGAGATGTGTGTGGCGAGGGATTGGCGGAAAGTAACTGATGGGGGGTTACAGGTTGGTGGTGTATGGATGGACACGTGTGAGGTGAGGTTCAGGAGGTTTTGTGCTGTACAAGGTAGTACAAGAATAACACACTGAGGGTGTATTCGTATCGAGTGTCAGACATCAAGTCATCAGTCCTTAGTCAAAACTTTGCCTCTTCCGAACTCGATTTTGCCTTACAAACGGGCCACTTCGGGTCTTCCGAGCCTCCACTTCATGTCTGACCTGATGTCTGACACGGGCTACGAATACACCCTCAATAGCTTCACTAAAAAACTTCCGCCGTATTAGTATTGGCAGAAAAGAGAACGGGTTTTGTGGACAGTCACAGTTGACTGTGAGCAGGGTGCTTTTGCTAAAGGTTGCTGACGCAAAAGGGTGTCGTCCTCCCGTCGTTCGGCCCCGATGTTCAGTCGCTGCCTTCCCCAGACACGTCGTGAAGCAGTCGTTTGACAACATCTGCCCAATCACAACGAAGCGCTTTCAGCCGCATGCGACCTGAACTGTTTCGCCTGCTCCCACAAACGAGTGCAGCAGTTTGCCCCACATGCCAGGTGCTCATCTTTCTGGTTCCCCCCACCCCACCTATGCCATCTGCGCCGTGAGCCATCAATGTAGGAAGCGGAACGGACAGCCCGCGGGCGGAAATGCGGATAGTGCAATTGGCGGAGAAAGAAGCCCAGCCCCCACATCGCGTCGCGAGACCATGCCCACCCACACACACAAAGCGGAGGACTATCGGGTGAAGATCAGGCCTGTCGATTGACGGGCATATGCCCTTAATGCCCTGAACATTCCGGGCTACTTTCGCTCCAGCTCGACTGCATAAAGTGTTAGGATCGCCCTGCACCCGTGCCACTAAGTGCTTCGTTCGACCCTTCCCCGGATGCGTTAAGTGCTCCAACCAGGCCTTCCCCACCCACAAAGTCTTGATTTCCGGTTCTAGGACCCCCCCCCCCAAGAAATTCTGCCTGACCCCCCCACTCCCCCCCCCTTTCTCCTTAGGTTGCACGAGAGTGTGCCAAGGGGATTTTTCCCTTAGCGGTTTCTAGCCAATCCCGTGTTTGTGATATCTCTAAGTCAGCTTTGGAGCAGCCGAACTTTCCCTTAGCTAAGATAGTGTAAGTGCAAGCCCGGATTTCAAGTTTTCACTTTGGCCTGCGCCCGTGACCGTTAAGGGCGCCAAAACACTCAGCTACGGCCAAAACAGGGTCAGATAGGGAGGAGCTGGGGACTCCAAGTATGGGCCCCAGGAACTTCGACAGGCCTGGTGAAGATGCTCCTCCAGCTCTCCTGCACACTCACATGCCCGTTGCATGCACGCCAATTCCATTCCATGCCCCATCGATATCGACTCACATACACACCACTGACGTGAGCAGCAGCCGTGGTGCCCCTCCATATATTGCACCAACAAACAATTTTGGGTTCCTGCAAGGTGAGGGACGGAATCATCGTTGGTCGGTGCTGCTGCCTCTTCGCTCCCCGCTCCGCGCTCCTTTCTGCTCGCTCTCCGTGGGCGCCACTAGCTGTTGCTTCGGGCTGCGCGCTCACCAGCGTCGTTCCTTCCCACCACGAGCTCTTGTTGCGAGCCCCGCGTCTGCGTGCAAGAATGGCGTCAACCGCGGCGCCGTCGTTCGTCTGCACGTGCAGAGCTGCCGGCGCGCTGAGAGCAGACGCGCTAAGAGGAGACGCGTTAAAGGAAGGCGCGGCTGCCTCGCACTCCTGGGCTTGCCAGGCCGGCTCGCCTGCCAGGAACTACGCGGTTGTGCGAAGCTTCGTTCTCGCCAAAATCTTTCCGTCTCCCTACACCCGCCCGCAAGGTCCGCGCGCTACCTGCTCTCGCTGTGTAACGCGGGACTGTTAATTCACCTTCGACTGTTATTCTCGCATGCATTTTCGAGAGAACTTTTCGTTAATCATTCAAGCAAGGTTTCCATATGCGACGTTGGCGCGTAGAGGATATCTCGGCATGAAACTGTGAGCAATGCAAATTTGCCTTGTTTTTCTTTCCTTTCCCTCCCTGCCTGCCTTTCCGCGCAGCCCATTCGTTCCGCCCCGCCACGCCGGCTTCCGCGTCCGCCAACCTCACCGGCGGCGATAGAGACCCCTCCGCAGACGACGTTCACGTGCCCATCTCCCCTGACCCCAAAAAGACCGCCCCCATCCCCGTTACAAGCCCATCCGCTGTCTCCTCATTCCGCTCGCTGTTCAATCTCGAGAAGCACTACGCGTTTTACGGCTCGTACCACGACGACCCGGTGAACAAGGCGATCCACATGGTCTTTGTGTGGCCCATCCTCTTCTCCGCGCTCGTCCTCCTCCAGTACACGCCGTCTTTAATCTCCCTCAGCCACCCACTCCTCGCCGCTTTAGCTAGGCTCGTGCCGCAGGTGCCTGTACCGCTTCCTCTCGCGCTTCCGGGCAGCGGGCTGGTGTTTAACTGCGCGGCGCTGGTGTCGGTGGTGTACGCGGCGTTCTACATTGGGATGGAGCGGCGCGCGGGGTCGCTCGCGGCGCTGATGGTGGGCGGGTGCTTCGTGGGTTCGCGCGCCTTCATCAAAGCCGTGGGCGCCGGGCGCGCGTGGAAGGTGCACGCGGGGCTGCCAGAGGGGGTTGGGTTGGGGAAATTGTGTGGGAGGAGGAAGAGTTGAGGAGCACGATGTTCAAGTTAGGGGGGAGGATAGAGAGGTTTGCTTGAGTAATTTGACGGAGATAATGCTGTGAGATTGAGGGGTTAACCACCTCCCCTTTCCTCCCTCTCCCTGTTCTATCACCCTGCCTCTCTCCTTTGTCCTCTCCCCCTGCCAATCCTCCCTACTTCCCTCCCTCCCTCCCTCCCTGCCTCTCTCCTCTGCCTCTCTCCTCTGCCTCTCTCCTCTGCCCCTCTCCTCTGCCCCTCTCCTCTGCCCCTCTCCTCTGCCCCTCTCCTCTGCCCCTCTCCTCTGCCCCTCTCCCCTGCCCCTCTCCTCTGCCCCTCTCCTCTGTCCCTCTTCCCACTGCTTCTCCACTCCGTTCTCCCTGCCGCGCCCCTCCGCCATCAGCTCGCGGTCATCGCACAGGTGGTGTCGTGGGGCGGGCAGTTTCTGGGCCATGGCGTCTTCGAGGTCAGTCCCCTTTGCATGCCCGTGCACATGTTCTCATCATTGCATTGCATGTTCGCTGGGTCTGTTTGTGCATGGCCCCCTCCGCACCATCTTCTGAACTTGGGCGTGCTTGCAACAACCCATGATCGCTATCACATGAAGCAACGTGTGTCAATCGTCTTTCTACGATTTAATCCACTCGTCTCCCACCTATCCTTTCCATCTACGTTATCAGAAAAGAGCGCCTGCACTAGTGGACAATTTGGCTCAGGCATTGCTCATGGCGCCACTCTTCGTACTCCTTGAGGTCAGCATCTCCTGCATTAACCGTCAGTGTCTGGGTCGCCTTTCTGTGGCTTTTATATTTAAATTCCTTTTTGTGTGCGTGTGGCAGGCGCTGGAGCGGTTTGGGTTTGAACCGTACCCTGGATTTCGCCAACGCGTGAGGACCATGGTAGCTTACCAGATTGCGGAGCATCAACGGGTCAAATTACAGAAGTGACACCTTCTGTGCAGAAATGTGAAAGCTTTCAATAGGTGGTCTCATCCATTAGTGTATAGTATGTAACGTAGCATGCTCTTCTGCTTGTTATATGGTTGGCACTTCTTTCTTGGCCAGGCGCTTAGTCTTAAGGTTAGCATGGGCACACCTCGTGCTCAGAAGGCTAGGCTGAACTGACATTGCAGGAGACTAACCAAACCTTACATACAGTGTAAAAAATTGCGAAAGTTTCAACCTGAAGAATTATGTACTACATGAACATTCTTGAAGTTTCAAGTGGATTTCATGCAAGCAATGTGCCTTACTGCTTTAGAAATCCTTGTACGAAGTGTACTAGAGCACTCCAGTTTGCAGCTGGAGCTGGCGCTGATTTCCACGGGCACGTGGCGCTGATGCGAGACTCGGACAGGCTTGTGTGACTTGTGACGGAGTTGGTGGCAGCTGGAATTTCGCTCTTCCCAAGGCTGGCTGTGCGGCTCGGGTCGGCGCTTTCCCCCATCTGGCGTCAGGCATCACCAAGCCAGCTTCACATTCGCGCCCACTGCGATCTGTCGCCCACACCAAAGCATCACCCAGCGACCATCGCACCCGTCGATATCATCGCCTGGTCTGGTCACCCCTCCTAGACAACTCCACTCTCTCAGATTCAAATTTCTTGATCCCTTAGTAGTTGCTGCTGCTATATTGCCTCTTGTTCTCTGTTGAGACTGTCTATCCGCTTCTCTTCACAGACTTGCATTAGGTGGTAGACAGGTTCTTTAGTCGTAGTTTCAAGACATCTTAGAACCATGGTGAAGATCTGCTGCATAGGCGCTGGCTATGTGGGTGGTCCCACCATGGCCATGATCGCGTACAAATGCCCAGAGATTAAGGTCACCGTGGTGGACATAAGCAAGCCTAGAATCGCTGCGTGGAACAGGTATGTCGGGTTGTCATTCTTCCAGCGTTCCGTCGCTGAAGCCAATACGACGCGCGAATCAACATCCTATCCTTTTGTTTTCACAGTGATAATCTGCCTATTTTCGAGCCTGGACTCGACGATGTCGTGAAGTCTTGCCGCGATAAGAACCTGTTCTTCACGACTGACGTGGAAAAGAGCGTCGCTGAGGCCGACATTATCTTCGTATCCGTGAATACACCAACCAAGGTACATAAGACAATGCAGAATCGTCAAGAAGCCTGAGGAATACATATAATGTCGGGGGTCATGACAGCCATTCGATCCTTCTTGACATTTGCAGACCAGGGGGTTAGGAGCTGGTCGGGCAGCCGACCTGACCTATTGGGAAAGCGCGGCGCGGATGATCGCTGACGTTTCTACCTCTGACAAGATTGTGGTTGAGAAATCCACTGTTCCCGTAAAGACCGCGGAAGCTATTGAGAAAATTCTTACACATAACACGAAAGGCATCAAGTTCCAGGTAACAAGTCATTTCCAATCCAAAGGCCCCGTTCTCACGTCCGTTCCAACCACTCACTAATTTGATATGTATTGTCGCTAGATTTTATCGAATCCCGAATTTCTAGCGGAAGGCACTGCCATAGCAGACCTCGACAAGCCCGATCGCGTTCTTATCGGTAAGATCCAGCGATTTTTATCCTTCGTTAACTTCTAAATTTATTTTCTTGAAAACAAGGCAACCAGTTGTTTGCTGTGTACTGTTTCATTCATTCAGGTGGTCGCACGTGTGAGGAAGGCAAGGCTGCAGCAGCTGCTCTTGCTGCAGTCTATGCTCACTGGGTGCCTCAAGAAAACATCATTGTGACCAACCTCTGGTGAGAGACTTGATGGAATAACGTTAGTAGAACCAGCCATTCAGTAGCAGATGTTCTGGGGTGCTTTTTCTTACATCCACGCTCACGCATGCCTCCTCAGGTCCGCTGAGCTGACCAAGCTGGCAGCGAATGCGTTTCTTGCTCAGCGCATTTCATCAATCAACGCTATCTCCGCCCTGTGCGAGTCCACTGGGGCTAACGTCTCAGAAGTAGCTTACGCCATTGGAAAAGACACCCGCATTGGCTCCAGATTCTTGCAAGCCTCTGTTGGTTTTGGTGGCTCCTGCTTCCAGAAGGTACTCTCCTCTTCCTCCAGCATCCCTCTCTTTCCAACACCCCCACACCTACCTCCCATCCCTCTTGTCCCCTCCGCTTCCCTCCTTCAACTGCATTCCTTCTCTCTCAAAAAAACAAGTCGTGAGCTTTGCACACGCTCATGCACATTGCATGCTGACACACAAGCACTCGCACGCCAAAGGCTGCTCTGCCTCCAAGTCCAGCACCATACTCACCTGCCCTGGTCACAACCCTACAGGACATTCTGAATCTTGTCTACATTTGCGAGTGCAATGGATTGATGGAGGCTGCTCATTATTGGAAATCGGTGATTGACATCAACGAGTACCAGAAGTCAAGATTCATCAGCAGGATCGTGTCCTCCATGTTCAACACCGTTGTCAACAAGAAGATTGCTATTCTCGGGTTTGCCTTCAAGAAAGACACAGGAGACACCAGGGAGAGCCCTGCCATAGATGTTTGCCATGGGCTTCTCAGGGATCAGGCTGACGTCAGCATTTATGACCCACAAGTAAGTGCAATTTCTTATGCACGATCACATATACTCAGCTTGTGCTTACGAAACTAGGGAAGTGTAACGAGGCTCTTGCTTGTGTTTCCAGGTGACTGAGGAGCAGATCAGGCGTGACCTGTCCATGAACAAGTTTGACTGGGACCATCCGTACCACCTGCAGCCAGTCAGCCCAAGAGTCCACCAGAAGGTAAAGTCATTGCACAAACTATGAGCTTTCATCTTCACTGTGTGTTTAGCCCCCTCTCTCACTGACTGTAAAACGAGCCGTGTAGGGAGGCCTTAAGGAGCACATGAACTGTGGTATCACCATGCACTCTAATCGCGCCCTCACATTGTTCCTCTGACCGTGTTTATGAAGATAATTTTTCGTTTCACACCGCCTCTCAATATCCACTGCTCCCTTCATCCCAGGTTTCGGTGTCATGGGATGCATATGGAGCGTGCAAGGGTGCTCATGGAATCTGCATTCTCACAGAGTGGGACGAGTTCAAGACGCTGGACTATCAGGTGGGAATGCAAATGGTTCAACTGGCACATGAACACGCTGCTGCATCGCTGTCCATGCTGATTCGCACATCCAATCTGATATCCAAGTTCCCTTCCACCTTGTGTGTTCATGACACCTACTTTGGTGATATCCCTTCCCACATGCTTTATTCTTCACTGTGGATTAGATCCCCAAGAAATGGTCTCACACCATTTAAAAATCCTTGTCCATTTCAACCCCTTGCATGGCCAACAGAAAATCTATGAGCACATGGAGAAGCCAGCCTTTGTGTTTGATGGCCGCAACATTGTGGATGTGGCAAAGCTGAGGGAGATTGGCTTCATCGTGTTTGCTATCGGACACGCGCTAGACCCCTGGGTGAAGGATCTTCCTTCCATGCACTAGGCCGTGCGCTGAGGATGTTGACCAGCACCCTATGGAGTCACCCAGGTGCCTGGGTGGTTAGGACATACCGTACAGGTATCAACTAGCTAGGACATGGGATTTATATAGCCTTACATATTGACACACTTTTACAAGTGATACCGTACTATCTGTTATGACGACATTGACCTTACAAAAACGGCTGTAGCGGGCAAGCAACCAGCTGCAGTGTACCTAAACAGCCGAGTCCAACTAGCACCATTCGGCATACAGCATCTTGGATCAACTAAAGACAAATGCAACACTCTCGGGGGACAGAACAAATTGAAACTCTCCGCTGGCAATTTCTCCTAGAATCGGCATTTGGCCCACAACCTCCACTCGCACGTGTCCACGTCACCATTCCATACTTGTTTCATCCAACGGAGAATACACCCGTAAGAACTTTCTCAGAAGCAGCGCCACGATAGCAACCACAATTGCTGCTGCCAGAGTGTTCAGCGCTCTGTCCTCTCCTGCTGCCCCTCCAGCTCGTGTCCGACCCTCTGCTGCACGTGTTGCCTGCGCCTGATTCTGTGATTGCCCTGCCACTACTCCTGCTGTTCCTGCTCTTGCTTCCACGGCCGAAGGGCCTACTGCTGCTGCTGCACTTGGTTGCCTGGAATCTGTCATAGTTTGTGGTGGTGGTGGTAGCAGTGGCTCAGTCAGGGAGTGTTCAGCAGCAGCAATGGATGCACCTGCTATTGCTGCAGCACCCGCAGTTGCACCTGCTGGCACCACTTGATCTGCCGCAGCGGCAGCTGATGCAGCTGACTCTGAACCACCAGCAGGGACGGAGCCGGCTTGTGTCTGCAGGAGTGGAGCTGAAGAGCTGGTCCCTGTAGAAGCAGGATCGGAAGATACAGCACGGCTCATCCCTGTCTCATTAAGGCCGACCGAGTCAGAGGAAGAGCTGGGAGCCGAACCTAAAGTAGCAGGTGCGGAGGATGTGGACGGTGTGTCGCCTGGCTGTGCTGCTGCTGGCAGAGGCACTAGGGAGCCTAGAGAAGGCTGCTCCGCAGAAACGTCGGTGGAAGAGGGAAGCACGAGGGGGGAAGCTGAAGACGTACCAGAGTCAGCAACAGCAGTGGCAGTCACTGGTTGGGCAGCAGGAGGAAGAGCAGAGTCAGAAACTGTGTCTTGGGGGGTGTCGGGAGCCGTAGGGCTAGGAGAAGAGGCGGAATGCAAAGAGGCAGGGATAGGTGGTGCCGTTTGCAGCATGGCTGCGTGAATCTGATCAATCACTTGTTGCCGCCCGGGACTCCCAAATTTGGGTGGCGCGAGTCGGGATTTGATTGCGAGCTTGCGGCGCTCGTCCTTGGGGTAATCCAGTGAGCCCAGCGCGCCATCTGGCTTGGTTGGCATGAATGCTATCAGCGCCACCAGTGCCGTGCGCACTGCCGGGGAGGATGATGGGCGTTGGGAGACAAAATGGTAAATTATTAGAGAGACAAAGGGAAGAGGGGAGACAACGAGTTTATCCATAGCTCCCTCCAATAGTTCCCTCCTACAGTTCCCTCGTACAGCGGGCATGCACAGACGTGAGACAACATGATCTCTGCAGGTTGGGTGGAAGTGCAAGTGAGATGGGCACAGTAAAGCTCACCACTCCAGGAGGGCTGCCAGTGCTCGGGGTGGTGGTTGGAGATGCTCAGACAGATCTTCGTCTGCACCTCAAAGCGCCCGCTGGGCTGCCACGGGCGACACGCAGAGAGGGCGGAGAGGGCAGAGCGAGCTGAGGGAGCTGTGGAACAGGGAGTGGCTACCCTCTTTCAGAGTGCCTATCGTCTTTGACTAGAGAATACCTATCGCATCTTCAGGGAACACCTGAGGTGCCCCAAAGCAACTTTCAGCGAGTTGTCAGGCGCGTGGCCCTGGGAGCGGTCCACTCACGGTGAGGAGCATGAAGGAGGGCGGCTTGAAGGGGTAGTCGGCGGGCAGCGTGATGCGGCCGTGGTAGATCCCCCCCTCGAACTCCGAGTCCTTGGGGCCGTGGATCGCGAACTGCCACTCGAATATGTCCTCCTGCCGGGGTGGGGCGCGATCAATGCGACGATCAATGCCAGGGACACTCGAATTCGTCCGCTCGACGTGCCGTGAATGCAAGTCGCAGAAGCACACTCGCGTACGACGTTTAAATTCGCAGCATAAGATACGATACGAGGTGATTCGGCAGACGGTGCTACGTGCTGGTCGGACGAACGGTAAACAGGACTTGCGATGGAAATCGTCGGAGGCTAATGGTGACGACACGGCAATTTGGTTTGGTCACTCTGCGTTGTGAGGTAGGATTCTCAACCCGCAGAATTCAGAGAGTTCTGGACTGCACGGTGACTCCCGTACCGTCATTCGCTAAATACCATGCGCTCTCGGCACTCTATTAGACCACTCGCCTGCACGCACGCGTGTACCGCGAGCTCACCTCGAGCGGCATGCTGGTGTACTCCTTGCTGCCCTCCCGCTGCATCTCCTTCACCTCCTGCAGAATCCGCTTCACCGCCGGATTCCGCATGTTGAACTGCTTGCCGTCCGCCATCGCCGCGAGCACGGCTCACGAAAGGTGAGTCAACAGAGGAGACGAGCCGCGCAACCAACGAAGTGAACGGTCAGACGGGATCAGTGCGTGTGTGCTGGGTCGCGCGCTACTTGATGGCCTGAGTAAGACTCGAAATAGGTATAGGCATGTGGGATGCCAGATCTTTCTTTGTAGACATGGATTTGCGGAAATGCTTGATTGAAATGTTTGTTGCTTGTTGGCAACTTCTAGAAAGACCACCAAGCCTGCTCTGGGCTGGAAGGTCGAACGCGTTAAAGCAGCAGTATACATTTGAAAGTACTGTTGGTTTAGGAACAGAACCCACCAAAAGCAAACCCCAACGAAAATGGTATATCTCAGCGCAAACGGGTCGTCGGGCCCGACGACCTGTGACGACCTGACGACCTGCTGCCCCGGGCAGAAAAAAACTAAAACCCTCTCGGATGGCATGCCATCCGAGGGAGGCATCAACCCTAAATCACATGGAGGCATGGATTTAGGGTTGATGCCTCCCTGACCGGATGCATGCCCGACTGGGGTTTATTTTTTTTGCCCGCGGGCAGCGAGCTCCCCCGGTCGACGACCTGAACGCGCTGAGATATTCTCTTCGAATGGGCTTGGCGAGACGCTCGGCGAAAATTTGGAGGGCTGACATTTGCGAACACGAGAAATCCTCCCAACACCCAACCCCTAGACTGACACTAAGGGACTCAAGGACCTAAACCCTGAACGTGTAACCTAGCTCGCCTCACTTTGCACGTCACCAGCTTCACGCTCACCCTCTGCTGGCCTCACCTGCTGCTCGCGCTCTGGGCGAATGTCGAATTCGCCTCAAAGGCTGCGCTCCGCGAGGCTGTCGCCTCGCTGCTCGCCTCCCACTGGTTGCTGTTTTGTCGGCAACTCACTCTCCCATTCATCGAGCAGGCCAAATTGCCACCATTGAATGGCCGCGCCGCCATGAATGCGGGGAGCCAGTCGTCAAACCATTTTCACAGACCCATTTCCCCTCCCTCTTCTCTCATTTCCCCCCCTTCCCTCTTTCTTTTCCACCACTACTCCTCCTCATACCCCCCTTCTCTCCCTCCTATTTTCCGCCCTTCCTCCTCTGATTTCCCCCCCCCCTGCTTCCTCGATGTTTCCCCCACTGCTCCTCCACACATCCCCCCTCTTCTCCCTCTCATTTCCCCTTTATCCATCTCTGCTTCCCCTCGTTCCCCCCTCTCCTTCCCCTTGTTTCCCCCTCTGCTCCCCCTCGTTTCCCCCCCCCTTCCCCTTATTTCCCCCTCCCCTTCCCCTCGTTACCCCCTCTCTTTCCCCTTATTTCCCCCTCTGCTTCCCCTCGTTCCACCCTCTCCTTTCCCTTATTTCCCCCTCTGCTTCCCCTCGTTCCCCCCTCTCCCCCTTATTTCCCCCCCTGCTCCCCCTCGTTCCCCCATCTCATTCCCCTTATTTCCCCCTCTGCTTCCACTCGTTCCCGCCTCTCCTTCCCCTTGTATCTCCCTCTGCTTCCCCTCGTTCCCCCCTCTCCTTCCCCTTGTTTCCCCCCCTGATCCCCCTCGTTCCCCCCTCTCCTTCCCCTTGTTTCCCCCTCTGCATTCCCTAGTTCCACCCTCTCCTTCCCCTTATTTCTCTCTCTGCTTCCCCTCGTTCCCCCCTCTCCTTCCCCTTATTTTCCCCTCTGCTTCCCCTCTTTTCCCATATGCTTCTTCACATATCCGCCCTCTTCCGCCCCTCTTTTTATCATCTCCCCTCCCTTCCACCGCCTCACCGCAGCCTAGGGCACCTCCCACGTTTTCCCCCTCTCCTGTTCCGTGAACGAGCCCCTCACCACTGCTCCTGTATGCATTCTAAACCCCTGAAGAAAGCCCATGCTTCGTCCCCTGCTTCTCTATTTCCCACCCTTCCCTTGGTGTGTATGGTTGTTGGCCAGCTATATTGGATTGAATTAGAAAGTTTTTTTTTTTTTTTTTTTTTTTTTCATCTGTGGTATCTGTTTGTATGGTGTTCTGTGTTTTCTATCGCTCTGCTTTGTTGTGGCTCACATGCTGTACTCGACTGTAGTTCCTGATCCCCATATTACGCCTCCCAGACCCCCTTCCCTCACTCTGCTGAGCTGCTTCTCTTATCAGTATTTTCTTACTTTATCCCTCTCATTAATACCACCTACCACCACGCCACTTGACCCTAAACCAGGAGCTAAACCCTGGAGTGCTCTATACGGCGTGACCCACCTGCTATTGCATTGCACCCCAGCTTCTCCCTGCTCCTCCGTGACCCTCCATTCTAACATCGGCTCCCCAACACGATGTGGCTTTGAGGTGCGCCCAAGCTTCAGCCGGTCGGGGAAAGGTGTGGGGAGAAATGGGTGGGGTTACGGCAGGAGGTGGCGGAGAGTGGCCAAGTGGGAAAGTGGATGCTTTTAAACTGTCGGCCCGCATTTAGCCAGCACCGCATGGCACTCCAGGCCAGGCGTGACCTGAGTCGCAGCTCGGGGTTTCAACATTGGGCTGGGCTGGTCCGGGCCAGCTTCACCTCTCATGAGAGAGAAGCTAATGATTGTTGCTGCCTTGCGTTCTTCTATCTTCCCGTCCCACCCCCGTGCTTCCTCCTCGTCTTGCAGTTCTCTCGTACCCAGCTAATATGCATCTGTGCAGACATTGTAATGTTGTGCTCATTCCATGATGCCCTGCTATCATACCCCTTCCCCTCCCCTGTGCATCTTTCCTTCCCGCCCTCCCTTCCCACTCTCGGAAGCAGCTCCCGGCCAGTGTCACACCTAGCGCGTGTTAGTGCGCATATGGCACGACCTGCCGAGATGCCGAGGCAGGAAGAACAACTGAGGCGAGCCAATGTGGCAACTGAGACGGCAAGACGCAACTCAAAAACCACGCCCCCATGCATGTTTGCTAGGTGGGTGCATGGGTGGGTTCTATACTTGCAAGTATGCATGTTTTACGCATGTTTTCACTCCGTTTCCCTCCCCAGCCAGCCATGGAGTGGCGGAGCTGTTCCCAGACACGCCCCTCACACGCAAGCACCGTGCATACGTGCTAGACAACCATCATCCGCACGTCGCGGGAGCGAGTGACTTTCTACCACAAGCATCACCGAGGCCATGGATCTGATCAAAATTGTTGCAGCAATAAAACCTATTTCCCCCTATGCTTGCCCCATGTTTCCGCCCTCTTAGTCCCCATGTCACCCCCCTACTGCTGACCCTATGTTTCCCCCCATGTTAGCCCCATGTTTCCCCCCATGCTAGCCCCAAATTTTCCCTCCTTTTCCCCCACGGCTTTCCTTCCTTTCCCAATCGGCTCCTTCGAGTTTACTTATTCTCTGTCCTCCCTTTTTACCCTGCTTATGTGTCAGAAAGTAGACTAGGTTAGGAACCTAGGAAGGTGACGAGAGAGGAGGATGTTGAGAAAGGAAGGGGTTTTCACTATTGTGCAAAGGGTACAAATAGGAGAGAAGCGAGGTATACCACCAACAGCTAAATGTAATACTACACTACAGCCACAACTACATGCAGTTATATCAATATAACTCTGACATCCCCCCTTAACTGCATGCAGGAATAGCCAAGTGCAAAACACAACCTGCGGGGGTACACCAAGCAGAACAAAGCAACAGCACGCAAAAGCAATAGAAACCGGTGCAATAGTGGTAGATACAGCTGCAGTAAGCCCTGAGGCAAGAAAGAAACAAAGAGAAGGTGCATTTGGCGCAGGTAGCTGTCAAAAAGTAGACTAGGTTAGGAACCTAGGAAGGTGACGAGAGAGGAGGATGTCGAGAAAGGAAGGAAGGGGTTTTCACTATTGTGCAAAGGGTACAAATAGGAGAGAAGCGAGGTATACCACCAACAGCTAAATGTAATACTACACTACAGCCACAACTACATGCAGTTACATCAATATAACTCTGACATCCCCTCTTAACTGCATGCAGGAATAGCCAAGTGCAAAACACAACCTGCGGGGGTACACCAAGCAGAACAAAGCAACAGCACGCAAAAGCAATAGCAACCGGTGCAATAGTGGTAGATACAGCTGCAGTAAGCCCTGATGCAAGAAAGGAACAAAGAGAAGGTGCATGTGGCGCAGGTAGCCTGGAGAGCAGGTGCCTGCGGCTAGAAAGGGTGGCGGCAACGCAGGGCTCAACGGCAACGCCTGCAGCTCAACAGCAAAGAAAGACGAACGAAGAGAGAGTGGTGTCAGGGGCTCCAGAAGTTGGTGCCACAGTAGGAGTGGCGGTTGCTGGGGGTTCACACCCGCCACCCCCTCATCTCCCCCTGTGACATCTCTCCTCCCCCCCCCTCCAGCAACAACTGCTGCAGGGAGAGAGGAAGAGGGAGGGGAGGGACGGGCTGCAGGATGCTCACACCCGCCACCCCCACGTCTCCCTCCCCCTCCTCCACGGTAGAAGCCGCGGAAGGGAAGGGGGGGGGCGGCGTACGAAGCTGCTGGTGCGGGCGTCCGCGCTGGCGCAGGCGCTGGCGCTCGCAGCTGACGCAGGCGCTGGCGAACGCGCTGGCGCTGGCGGCTGTTGCAGGCGCTGGCGCTGGCGGTCCGCGCTGGCGCAGGTCGCGGACGTCCGCGCTGGCGCCTGGCGAGGCGCGGGGCGGGCTGCGCGCGGTCGGAACGGGTCGCCTGCGGACGGGACGAGCTGTGCGCGGGGCAGAACGAGCTGCGCGCAGGGGAAAACGGCAGCGTGTGGGGAGGGCGCAACGGGCGCGACGAGCAGGCCTTCGGAGCGCGAAACGGGGGGGGGGCTGCAGAGAGCGAAACTCGGGATCCGCGGGGGTCGTCAATGGGGCGAATTACGGGCTGCGCGATGGGTGGGCCCATGATCCTAAAACAAACAGATCCTTAGGATCTTACAGCTCTGGTTACCATGTCAGAAAGTAGACTAGGTTAGGAACCTAGGAAGGTGAGGAGAGAGGAGGATGTCGAGAAAGGAAGGGGTTTTCACTATTGTGCAAAGGGTACAAATAGGAGAGAAGCGAGGTATACCACCAACAGCTAAATATAATACTACACTACAGCCACAACTACATGCAGTTATATCAATATAACTCTGACATTATGCTCCCTCTGTTGGAAATAAGAAGTCGCTAGAGCGCAGCGGAAGCTCTAGGAATTAACGACGTCCCTACGGCGGGGCTATTGGTCACTCAGAGGTAGCTCTCCTGGCTTGTAACGTGGTGCCAAAGCAGCGGCCGAAGGTAGGCCGGACACAAGCTTGAGAATTGTGTAATATGAGCAAGGCATTACATTCTGTTATATAGCAAACGCATAGGGCAAACAGTTACCAAGGCGCAACTGTATAACAGTTGCGCTGCGTCGCTTGGGTTGCCTTGTTACAGTCGCACTGGCGAGACTTTTCAGCTTCGGCAAGGGCGCGGTATCCTGCCGCGCCCCACAGGTCGGTTTCGCGTACTGTAGACGATGACTCCTGCTGTCGATTCGACTCTTGAGCTGCCACGCGGGTCGCAACCGCTGTGCTCGGTTGCGGCCCGTTGACTCGCCACCAGGTTCAAATCCCTCGCTATGGCGAGCCCTTGTAAGCACACTTCGAACAGTGCACTTATAATAAAAGCATACAAACATATTCTCAACACTCCCCTCCACTGTTAGAAGTGTAGAAACGAGGAGAGCTGCAATCTTGCCGGGTTGAAGTTGTGAAGTCCTTGTCAGATTTATATGACATAGCTACTGTAGGCTATAGTGGGGTAGCACATATGGGGTACAGTTTTCTAGGGTTTGCTTTTGTACCCAACTTTCCCTTAGTCAATCCATTCCTCGTTATTTCACATGGTATAGAGCGGGTTCCCTCGTGGGAACGCTTCCTAGGGCCCACCAATCGAATTTTTATTTTTCCTGCCCGGAGCGCGCTTCGCTCCTGCCTGAGTCGCGCCCCGCGTGCCCTCCCTACCGTCGCGCCCTCTCTAGGCCCCTTACGGCCCCTTCGCGTCGCCCTTAGCGGCCTCTCTGACGGCCCCTCGCGCCGCCCTTCCGGCCCCTCGCGCCGCCCTTACGGCCCCCCTACGGCTCGTAGCCGCCCTTCGCGGCCCCTCGCGTCGCCCTTCACGGCCCGTCGCCGCCCTCCGCGGCCACTCGCGGCCCCTTCACGGCCGGTCGCCGCCCTCCGCGGCCACTCGCGGCCCCTTCACGGCCGGTCGCCGCCCTCCGCGGCCCCTCGCGGCCACTCCCGGCCCCTTCACGGCTGGTCGCCGCCCTCTGCGGCCCCTCGTGCCGCCCTTCACGGCCCGTCCGCCGCCCTTCGCGGCCTCTCTCGGCCCGCCGTCGCCGCCTCTACAGCAGCAGCAGCTGCAGTCGCTACAGCGACCGCGGCCGCAGTCCCAGCAGCAGCAGCATCCGCCGCCCCTGCAGCAGCAGCATCCGCCGCCCCTGCAGCAGCACCCGCCGCCACTGCAACCGCGGCCGCCGCCGTCCCTACAGGAGCGGCCGCCGCCGGCCCTGCAACAGCAACTGCCGCCGCCGCTGCAGCAGCGGCCGCCGCCGTCCTGTGAGCAACAGCCGCCGCTGCCCCTGCAGCAGCCGAGCCGCCCGTGCCGCCCGAGCCGCCCGAGCCGCCCGAGCCGCCCGAGTCGCCCGAGCCGCCGAGCCACCCGAGCCGCCGAGTCGCTGAGCTGCCGACCTGCTGGTGCTGCCGAGCCGCCGAGCCGTCCGAGCCGCCCTGTCCTCTACACTCGGTCCGTCTCGCCTGCCCGGTAAGAGCAGCACCTCTACTACTGCGCTGCCCTTAGCCTACTGCTCGT